TACATGCACAGATGGTACAGTAAATAAATAGTTACCAAAACTTCTAGGGAAGTTGCCACTACCAAGGTGAAAGGAAGAGGCTATAATCAGGAGTGAAAGGAGAGATAGAAGCAGGATAGAGTTGATCTAGCTTTTTATGTGGTAACATATTGATATTATGTGACTTCTGTGGTCTGCTGTACTTATCTAGGAAACTTACTAAAATTGTATGCTCATTACTATACATGCTATAATTTACAACGAAAAACAACTTTTTAAATAACATAATTTTTCCAGGTAACACAAATACAATTATTTTGGAGCCATTAATCTTGAGATTAAAAGATTATCTTAAAGTCATAAAGAGATTGTTGAAGGAGTAATGCTAATAGAATATAACAATATGTTCACATTGTAAAAAAATATCACTGATGTATTTTGTCCCCACTTAACTTTTTTCTCCTAAAACTTGGAAAAACATAACTTGAGGTTTCTGAGATGACCTTCATGAATTAATTTCATCCTTTTACAAAAGAAATGACAAAAGAACCAGGCGTGGTGGCTCATGCCTCTAATTCCAGCATTCTGGAAGACTGAGGCAGGAGGATCGTAAGTTCAAGCATGGCAACTAAAGAAGATGCAGTCTCAAAAGGGGAGGTGGGGCTGCTGGGCATGTAGCTCAGTGCACAGGGCCTGGGTTAATCCCTAGTAAAGCGAAAGAAGAGGAAGAATTTTAGATCCTAAAATGCTTCTGACTTACTGACACTAGTATAAAAACTATGCACCATGTAAGGAAAAGTTTGTTTTCCTATAAAAGTGTCCTTTATCCTTCTCATCCAGTCAGGAGAGAGAAGCCATACAATATTGGAAATGGAAAATATAACAGGGAGGTGGCAGAACTAGAAAATGAATAATAAGCTGTAGAGAGAATTTTAAGGAATATTGGAATAGTGGACATAATATAGCAGATGATGCAAAGTATGATGTAGCCTCTACTGCAAGGGTTAAAACAGAGCATCCTAGGATGAGCTTTCTTTTTCCTCGGGCTGAGACCCAGACCTTGATGGACGGCTTGTCCATAATGACTCACTAAGGTACCACACCAGTGGGTCCTGCTAGAAATCCCACACATACGTGGGAACCGCCATTCCCGTGAAGCTGTCTTACCGGACACTCTAAGAGGGTCCACTATAAAGACACTCAGGTGCATCAGTGCGTCCCTCAGGGGACTGGATCTGCCACTGGCTCCTAGGTGCCTGCCACACTGTAGATGCTGAGCTCTGGAGACGCCGCTGATTGTTTCAGAAGCCTGGTACTTGGGAATCCGCTTAAGACTCTCCCAGAGAAGCCTGTCGCTGGTCCCTGGAACCAGGAAGGAAAACTTTTTACTCTTTAAACATCTCTCTAGCACCCTCTGCTGGCACAATCTAATATTAGTGTCAACTGGCAAAGCAAAAATACTGTACTGAGGGTTCAGATTCGTTTTCAGAGAAGTTAACCCTCAAAAAGAGGACAATTATAGAGCAAAAAAGGTAATAATTTGACATTCAGCATAATCTTCTATCAAAAATTAGATTTTCCAGTCCAAAAAGCCAAGATTATAGAATTCTAGTTAGTGGTCTGTCTCTCCCACCCAGATGTTTGAGTCTGGGACATGGCTACCAGGCAGGTAAATTCTGAGACAGTGATGGAACAGCTGAATCCATTCTTTCCCTCCGGTGTTCTCCATCAGATGCACTGAAGTTTCACATGGATGTCCTTCCACACCACCCCTTCTCAGCTGACATGAGCTCAGTACCACACAGTTGGAATGTAGTCAATTTCCTTCACGATTTAGCTGGATTCAATCAATAACAGGAAAAATTATGAATCTTTTTAAAAGTTTCTCTTGTCTGCTTAAATAGCAATTGGGTCTAATGGTTTGGAAGGTCTGGGGACTTTTTATATACATGATCAGGTGGCCTATATTTAATGGCTGGTTTGATTTTGTGACTAGATTCAGATTGAGTACAAAACATTAAATGGGCATGCACGTTTACCTTTTAGATTGATAATTTCATTAAGTATAATTTTTGCTATAGATTGTGTAACATACCTTTATTAGTTTTACAAAGTTCCTCTCTGTTCCTAATATACTATATTTCATAATTTTTATAATGAAGATTTAATGAATTGGGGGGAAAGCACCTACAGGCCAAAGATTTACAGGTCAAAATAGGCCTAGAAAAAGACTGCAGCACAAGGCGAGAGAAAAAGAGGGGGAGAGATCATAAAGCATGAGACAATTTTATTTTGCAGAGGCAAGGGTTGGGTCTCTACACCTTAGCATCAGCCTGGCCTAAATTTTTGACAAGTAAGCACAAAATGCAGGCGGTGTTCTAGGAGTCTCGAAAATCCCAACCAGGTTACAAAACCCAGAATCCTCTCAAACACACTTACGTGGTGGCAAACAAATGCTATTACATAGCACCAAACATCAGCCAGGACTAAGCAGACACGGTTATTTAGCTGGAGCCCAGAACACCTACCCAGCAAGCTAACTGCCCTGATTCATTTTGCTCCATTAACTTCATAATTATTCAGTCTCACACTTCATATAATCAAATTTGAAGTTTACTTTCTTTATGGGTCAACTGTTTCAAGTAACAATGGTTCCAAGAAGGTAATCCCTACTAACCAAAGTTTTGGAAACAAGCAGGAAACGAAGGAGGATATAAGAAAACAAATTGAATGGAATTAGAGAGAAATACAGGTCTGTTAACCTGCAAGCATTACATCATCAATAAATATCTGAAATAAAGATAACAAACATTTAAAAATTTCCAGTTACTAGGTATTCATGTTTCTGTAGATTAATGTAGATATATTTTATTTAAGTATAACTTACACTAAAACATGTAAGTCAAGTTAAAACTTACATGTAGTTTTATGTATAAACCCATGTATTTATTACCAAAGTCAAGAGACTTTTCAGATTCAAGATTCTTCGTGCTCCTGTCAAAACTCCTCTCCAAAAATGGTACCCATTGATTTTTTTTTCTTAAGGCTGATTGTCTTTTTAACCAATGGTTTGTCTTCCCTAAACTTACACAGTGGAATTGCATAGAAGGCATTCCTTGATATCTGGCCATTTTGGTCAGCATTGTATCTATGATAATTACTTGTTGTATACTGCTCTTTTTCATTTACATAGATTCATGTGAATGCATCATATTTGTCCATCATATGGCTGCTGTCTCCTTTGGGCACTCAAAAGCCACGAGGGTGGAGGGATCCATTACTAGGTCAGGAAAAATTCAGTCTCAATATCCAGTTCTTTTTGTGTATTGCCTTGAAACATCAATGACAGACTGCCAGAAGTCTCTCTGATCTATAATAAGGTGGAGAGAATCTGAAATGATGTGTTTGCACCTGCAGACCTTGGCTCCTTCCCTCCCCACTGAGCTTCCAGCCCCAGGACTGCTGTATTTCCAGCCTTCCACTTGGACTCACCTCCCAGGGTAGATGTGGTATGGGGAATGATCAGGGCACTTGCTCCCCAACTTCCTCCAAAAGGTCTGGGGACACACAGCCTGCATGAATGTCATCACAGCTTTTCTTGAGGAAACCTGCACCATGGTACTGTCCTAGATCCTGGCCACTTCTCCCCACCTTGGCCCCTGTGGACCAAGGAATGCCAGGAATGCTAACAGCTTCTTTGATGCTAGCAAGGTTATTTTTTCCTTCCTCCCTTGTTCCTTCCCCTACATCTCATTCATCTTTGTAATTAAATCTTTTCTATATAAGCCCTCTTTGAGTTATCCCTGAGTGTCTGCATTTCGCATTTGGAGAGGAAAAGCTGTATTCTGATATTCGCATCCCTGCACACACCTACACCTTTGCACATATCCATCCGATGGCTGGAAAACTAAGTGGCAGAGGTAGTAGCATGCTTATTGCTCCCCCTGGGCCACATCCTAGATATTGCACAGCTATTACAGCAAGTTTTCTGCCCAACATGTTTAGAAAGAGGAGTTGGCCCATCCCAACCTGTGAGCTACACTGTTATTTATCTGCTTGACAGAGGGAAGTGGCATAATGGAGGCTGGGTGTCCAAGCCTATTATGCCAGCTATATCCAGACTTCCTGTACTGTAAGAGGTGAGGCTGTAGGGCCTACAAATGCACGAAAGAATGTGACCAATGGACTAGTAGTATCCTTCACCCCAAATTTCTCACTCCCAAAGCAACTCTAACTCTGAGAAGGCCAGTCTGCTGGAGTAGTCATTTCTTAGGCCCAAAATCTATCTTCTTACACAATTATAAAACACATGTAAAGACAAATATAATTCACATAAAATAATACCGAGAATAACCATTATGTGCTACCAACAGTGCTGACACACTTGTGCAGTGAAGCTCCTTCAGCTGCTTAACTGAAGCATATCCCAAAATTTCAAATCAAGTCATTTTAACATATACTATTATCTTTATAATTAGGCATGTTATTCAGTTCTTGCAGAGCAGAATATGGAAATAAACTAGATGCTAAACTTGGTAGGAGACTGCTAGCATCATACTTATCATCAACCTGGAAACACTCATATCCAAATGTCTCACTGGTTGACTTTACATGTAAAAGTATAACTGTGAACTAGGTAGAAAATTCATACGTGAAATATTATTTTACAATTCCATTCTATTCAAAAGCTGAGGACAAACATTACAAACCAATGGTTCAGGCAATCACTTCACTGCCTATACCTCAATTCTCAGTTCTTGCTTTTCTACTGAAAGGCACCCAGTCCAAAGCAGCTGGTCACTAGCCATGCTTGAGTACATAAAATGGAATCAGCATTATGATGTTTCTGAGTTGGAGGGAACTTTTTCCTCAAAAGCATTCATTATCTGACCAGAGGAGGAGAAGAGAAGTCTAGTCTCCAGAGTGAAAAATATTTTTTCTCATCAAATTACAATATTATGAAGGCAAAACTAAGTTTCAGTATATAGAACTGGAAAAAAAAAATGCAGTACCCACAGAGCTTGACATGTAACCTTTTTATTTTGTGATAAAAATGCTTTCATATAAATTTCATCTTAACTACTTTTAGAATGAAATTTTGGAAAGTAAAAACAAAGTGTGCACTTTCCTTAGTCAGGAATATGCAGTCATTTTATTGATTACTAGGTTTCTCATACAAACAGATACAGTATCATTTTTAAGAGAAATATACACAAGAAAGTTGCCATAGTACCAAAAAGTTATTGGTGGGGGCCTTGGGACACATACATGTGTCCTAATAGTCATCATACATTCAATGTATTGGTTAAGGCCCAAATCCCCAAACCACAGGCCAACAAAACATTACACCTTTGGTTCTTTTCTATGCAAAAATATTTTAACAATAAAATGATAAAATGGGCTTGAGTATCACATCTGCTTACATTAAAATCTTTAACACTCCGTCAGCCTTTCCTTCAAACCTCTCCCTCCTCCACCTTCATGTAAATCAGAAAATCATGCTTAAAAGAAAGGAACAAACAACAACAACAACAAAAACCCTATCCTTAAAGGTAGGCAGAAGAGGATTCAAAAGAAGGAAGAATGTTTTTTAAATGGAGAGACCTATCCATGGCATTAAACATGTAACCCAACATCCAACTGAGAACCCAAATGAGAACGTGATTCTCCATCTTACCTTCCCTTTTATTAGATATTACATGACTCAAGGGTGCTTAAAATCTAATAGTGCTAGAATGCTAGAATGCTTAAGAGGCAGTGTCTTCCTCCTCCCTGGAGCCAGCTGTCTGCATGGGCAGCCTTTTCACACTCCACAACCCCAAACCCAGAAGAACCAAGCTAAAGTATCCCACGAAGGAAAACATGCTGGTTAACTCCACACTGTGTGCATGTCGGGGCGGGGTGTATAAAAGATCCAGTGGTTGGATCAAGTGCTGATCCTTTCAGGCAGTGGCACTGGCACAGAAGGGAAGCAAGGGTGATGTGACATGTTCCACAGCAATTTGCGGGACTAGTGAAGAGGTTCGAGGGTAAAAAGTCACCATGTAGAATAATGTGTTTACACACTGTAATAGGGGCTGCCATGGAGAGAACAAAACAGAATGTGCAAACAATCTGCATACATCAGGCAGAACTTTGTTGGTTCGATGAATTTGAACAGGACTGAAAAGAACTATTTGTAGACTACCATACCGAAACACAGCTCCTGTAAGTGGGTAGCACTGGGGTCCACCCCACACTGTAGGAATGAAGATTATCATTAAACCAAAACAGGCAACACATCTACTAATAATAGGTACAAAGTGCCCTGAAAAATCTAATTTCCAGATGTCAAGGCATCACAGTACCGATGGAAGTGACAATGTGGCCACTGGACCAATTATTAACTGACCCAAGAAAAAGAGGAAGGACACTATTTTCCTGTTCCTACAGTTGACTAAAATACTTCTGTTCTTGACAGAGTAGATGAAGCTGTCAAGATCACAACACAGAGAACAGATTCAGGTAAGGTGTAATCATAATCTAAACATAACGATGGCAGTGACAAGCAAGTCTTTAATCCATTATCATCCAGGTAACTCTGGGAAAGGAAAAAACCCCTGTTAAGTTTCTATGTTAGTTGCCAAAAAAGAAATGTCCTGATTGTTTCAGATGAAATGCAAGAGTAACAAAACCTAGCACAGGTTGCCTCACAGTGCACCCTACAGAAGTCATCCAATTTTCCATTTTCTGTACAACAGAAAATCCATGTCTTCAGTGCAAACCTACTAAGGGCACCAGTAACTCAGATTATAGCACAGAGAGAAATTGCAGTAAGTTTCTGCTCTACAAGAAAACCAAAAAGTAGGAACTATGACGAAAAGGAGAGTGATACTGGGTTTCCTGAGCCAAAGAAGGTTCAGTCCTAAATGGCAAGGATATGTTGTCTGAGACATTTTCATCTGTGGAGATGTACAGAAAAGCTCAACAGCTACCAACTTCATCTGGATGAGTGAGGAAAGCGGGCCTAGGGCTCTGAGATCCAGAACAAGTGTGTTCACAGTAGCAGTCATGGAATGCTCGGCACAGAGGGAACTGCGGGTAGTAACTGCTTCTTGCGTGAATTAGCTTATCTCTTGGTGAGTCCAACCTCTAACCTTTTTCTCCTTGTCTGGTTTAAAAAGATCATAGTATCTAGGCTACAAAGATAAAACTTGACACAGACCAGGCCCACAAAAAAAAAAATCAAAACAAAACAAATAAACAAAAGAAAAAAACAATGGGCATGTATGTTTCCTTCTGGTAAGTTTTAAATGAAGTCTTGAATGCAAGAAACAGAATTAAGGTGCAGCCTCTTGAAGGGAACTCATGCTCCCAATATTGATCCGAAGAAAAACATTTTGCTTTCTTTCTCCTAGGAATGATGTGTGTAGAATGCAACATTTCCGTTTTCTAGAAATGTATTTGGAGGTTTATGCTAAGAACCACAACCAAGGTTAACCATGGGAGGCTCTTATGAATGTAAAGAAAATAGGAGGGAAGAGGAAGGCCGAAGATGTCTAAAAGAACAGAGGCGTTGCCCTATCATATGCAGGTAGGGTCCAACCACAGAGAGGTGCACAAAGGAAAGCACCAAATGCAGTCAACAGAATTTCAAGGCTGAGAAGATGAGATAAGTCAACTTGGGCAGAATTCCAGGGCAAAATTCTCAACTGGACTCTAGTGTAGAATCTTCTCAAGGATATATAGAAGCCCCCAGGGCTTAAAATGCAATCCGAGCTGCAAGAATGTCTGGGCTGCGAAAGGCATCCATCTTATTCTCCAAATAGAAGACAGTAAACGTGGCCCCAAAGCTTGTATCTATCTTGCATGTCTATGAAATTGGCTTGATGTGCAAGAGATTAGGAGGAGCCATGTCCTTTCCCTAAAATCCTGCAAATACTCAATAAAGCTCATTAATTGCTTCTTGTGCATTATCTGAAGCCTAGGAGCATCTTCTTTCTTTTGCCTTCAAAAGCTGGTTACAGAGCTATTTCTTCATTTCTCTTCCGGATGACCTTCATTTGTTCCTCAGCAGCATTTACAATAGGCAGTTCTGTCTCCACTCTGGAGGGAGACTCATGCGTAAACCTGCATGTTGCTGTGTGGTGGCTCAGACATGTGTGTCCCAGGTCCTCGCTGACCACCTCCACCACTCCCAGGAGTAGGGCTTGTGGTTACATCTGACCAATCAGAAGCAGAGTGGGGCGATGAGCTTGACCACTGGTCAGGAGAATCTGGGGATGGTGTCAAGTAGGGGTGCTCACCTTGCAGGTGACCGCTGTGATTTGGGGTTCGCTCGGCAGCATTGGAGGAAGCGTAACTATGCTGAGATGGGGGTGTGGGGTACTTGCCCACAGAGGCTGGGAAAGGATGATACGCTGGGAGAATGGTCTGAGCTACTTGGCCATCCTGCTGGGGCATCATGGCAGTGGGAAAAGCCACCCCAGGCAAACGGGCCATCTCAGGAATCTGGTACATAGTGGGAAGGGGGCCTGCAACGGCCGGAGGGCAGGTGGACTGAGGCTGGGAAGCTCCAGCCGGCTGGGCAATGCTGCCTTTGGGGATGAGCTGGAAAGTCACAATGGGTGGCAAGGTCTCCCGTGGGGTGGGGACATGCTTCCCTTCAGGTGGCCTGCTCTGGGGAGCTATGCCAGGGTGAGTGCCCTCAGCAGGAGTTAGGACCATACCAAACATTTCGTTGTACTGGGTGTCACTCATCTCCATGCGGTTCATCCAATCTGCTGGGACAGTGACTGGATGCAGCCTACTCAAGTTTCCTGCACTGCTACTGCCTGGTGGGACAATGTGGTGGTGGGACAGTAGCTGGCTCACAGAAGGAAGCACGGTGCTGGCCCCAGGAGCCAAAGGCTGCATTTCATGAGGATTAGGGAAAGACAGTGCATGCTGTGCATGTACTGGGGCCTGGGGTGCAGCAGCAGCCAGCATAGGATTGGGAGAGGCCTGTAAGATTCCAGGAGATGTGATCATTGGAGAGGATGTAGTATCAGACACATATGTGTGAGGAGACTCAAGAGAATCGACAGGGGATAAAGTCACTGAGCTCTCCGACAGTTGGACCTTCTCACTCAGAGACTTCTTCCTCCTACTACCCTTGGCATCCTTAGCCTCCTTGGCAAGGTTAGGAAGGCTAGTAGGCATGGTGCTCTTGGCATTGGGCCTTCTAGACTTCTTGGCCATTGGAGTGTGCTTCAGACTGAGGAATGACCTATTGGGCCCGCAGATGACAGGTGAGAGAGCAGAAGTCAGCACAGTGCCTGGGGGGCTTGGGGTCACGTTGTACTCATCCAGGAGGCGCACAATGTCATGGTGCATGCGATCCCGAGCCACATCCCGCGGAAGACGATCCATGTGGTCCGTGATGTCTCGATTGGCAAAATGGTCCAACAGGATCTTGGCTGCTTCATAGCTACCCTCCCGGGCAGCAAGAAACAGAGGAGTCTCTTCCTACAGAAAAGAGCCACACACACATCAGATTTTAGTAACACTTTTAAGAATATATGTCAGTGCCTAAATTTTTTATCAGCTTAACAGCTTAACCTTAAACATTTTCTTAAGTGCTTCCCCTATAAAATTTTAAGACCACAGAAATACTGTATGTCTCTCTATGTAATGAATATATATCTTTGAATTATATGAAAAGTTATATACCTTTCCCAAAGACCAATTTTGCCCCTTAGGAATTTATAAAATAAATCAGAAACTCCTTAAAAGAGTACTCTACTCAGCTCATCAGTCTAAAGTTCTAAGAGGAAAAGGAAAAATAAGAAAGGCAGGAGAAGAAACTAAACCATGTATAGAACTGGGGAAAATAGGAGAAAGAATAAAAGAGAGGAGAGGCAAAATGTGCAAGAATGAGCTAAACTAATGAAAAAGTGGAAATAAATGGGAGAAAACCGGTTGGGGAAGGGGAGTGTGACAAAACTCAGACGTAAAAAACCAAACAGGAAACATGACGACATCTAAGACAGAAAAGTGAGAACCAAGAACAAAAAACCCAGCAGGAAAAATGGAAGAAAACAAACAAAAGAAAAGAAAGAAAGCATAACAAGACAAAATCAGAGAAAAGGAAATGTCAGAGAAGAGAGAAGGCAGGTGAAGGCACCCCGAGTTGTTTGCAGGCAGCCTGGAGTGACTCCTGAAACACCGCGGAATAAGCTCAATATCCAGCTATATCAAGTTGGCCAGATTCAGTTCCCAGCCAACCTGCTTCTAAATCTGTCTGTACTGATCACAAGAGAAGCTACAGAGGCAAAAGCGAAAGGCCTTGTAAGGATGGACCTGCTAAGACCACCCTCAGGCTCCAAGCTCACAGCCCTTACCTTGTTGTCCTGCATGTCTCGGTTGGCTCCATTTTTTAACAGCAGAAGTGTGGCCTCTACATTATTTACAGCAGCTGCCCAATGAAGAGCAGATTTTCCTGCAAGGAAAAACCATTTCTATAAGTAGACAGACAGTAAAAGAACGCATTCTAAATCTAGGGATCCCTTCTGGCTCAGTTCTCTGAACTCAACATTTGAAGGAAGAGTGAATGAATACATGAATGAAAGAGAGAGACTCTCCAATGCATTTGAATCTCAAATAGCTCTTTAAGGACCATGCAATGATTCCTTCACGTAGGTGTGCTTTGCAGGTAAGAATTCAAATCTCTCTCCATTTTGTCCCTACCATGGTCATCCACTGCATTCACATCTGCTTGGCAATTGATCAGTTCTGCCACCATTCCCTCCACAGCTAGGCGGGCAGCCAGGATCAGAGGTGTAGTGCCATCATTCATTCTGGCATCCAGATCAGTCACTCGGTTGCGAATCAGAATCTAGAAGAGAAGCACAGAATAGTGAGTCATCTGTACACAGTAAAATAATGAAACAAAGAGAAGAAACAAAAGCACTAGCACTAAAGGTACACTGTAAGTATCTGAAGGGCAAGAAAGTCTTATCTTTGCATCCAATAGTCTATTGAGCAAATCAATAAGCATCTACAGAATGAATGAATGAATCAACAAATGAGTGATCCAAACATACTGGGCATCACAAAGCAATGTATTTCTATTTTATAAGGAAAGCAGAGCATCATGAGAAAAATATCGCAACTTAAAAATGTAGCAGCCTGGGGGCTGGAGGTTTAGCTCAGCGGCATAAGCACCTGCCTTGGAAGCAGGCAGTCGTGAGTTCGATCCCCGGTACTGATAAAAAGGAAAAAGACAAAAAAAAAAAATTAAAAAAAAAAATGTAAGCAGCCTAATGCAATTTAGAACGCTTTTGATTTCATCATAAATTTAAAATAAAAGGGCAGCATAGAGTACACGGTCAGCTCATGTCAAGAAAATGGCTAGTAAGTAGCTAGGAACCCACAGAGTCAGGTCAGGTGGATCCATTGTAACAGTTAACATGAGGCAGGGGCTTCGGTAAAGATATTGCTCCCATTTGATCTGTGCATTTGGGAGACATCTTTGTACATCAAAATATTACTGACTAAGAATCCAAAGACTGGTATTACCTGCTCTTGGCTTTATCACTATCTAATACTTTTAGTAAGTCAGCTTTTCCTTCTTTTCCCCTTCCCTACTTTCTGACCTAACAAGCATGCCTAATCTCTCAAAGAATGCAGTGAAATATTAAATGCCAGAATACACATAAAACATTATAAACCCATGAGAAATTTATGTGGTTCAAAGCAACTCATCTCATGTCCTCTACCTGGAAGACGCCTTGGGCATCAGCTGCTACTGCAGCATGGAGAGGGCAGCGGCCCATGTTGTCCTGAGCATTGGCATCTGCACCTGCATCCAGGAGGCGCTTGGCAGCATCAGCCCTTGAGTAGCGGGCTGCAAGGTGCAGGGCCATCTCACCAGTCCGGTCTGTCTGAGCCTGGAGGCTGGCACCCTGGTAGACCAAGTCTGTGATGATGTTGGCGGAAGAGTCCTCTCCATCTTCATCTTCATCACTCATATCTGAGCTGCCTCCTCGGAGAGAAGCCAACATCAGTGGAGTACACCCATCTGCAGGAAAGGAGAATCCCGGGAAACATTCAGAGAAGAAGGAATCCAACCCTATTATGAAACCTTCCTATTTGAGTGAAGATATGCTTTAAGGTATTTTTTGTGCTCCTTCTTATAACTGGCAATTACTTTTACATTTGCTACCCACCTCTCCTCTCAATGTCATTTCTATAAAAGAGCAATAGGGAAGTTGAATCTTTCTGAGCTGGGCTCTTCTCTAAGGTGAATAAACTTTTCTCTGAAGTACAACATTTTCAAGTATCCAATATTAATAGAACTATACGCACAAGACATAACTGAGCTAATTCTCTAAATTCTGTTTTGGGATAATGTTTTCTCAGTCACTAAAATCTTTTTTTTTTGGTACCGGGGATCAAACTCATGACCACGCGTTTACCAGGCAGGTGCTTATGCCACTGAGCTAATCCCTGGCTAGTCACTAAAATCTAACCCATTAATAAGCCTGTTTTTTCTCAGCATACTGCAGATGAAACAATGTGAAGCCATTCCCTTTTTTCTGTGTTCGTGAATTTTGATGCCTGTAATCCCTTACACGTACATTTCCTCAAACTGACTTAGGCTATGTGACACTGGCAGAGAGCATATGGCCAAATGGGCCAAATACAGGGCCACCCACGCAGAATGAAGGCAAGCACTTCGTGGTATAAGGGGAAGGCTGGCCATACTGACCTGGACCCCGGACATTCACGTCCAGCACATCCACCTCCTGTTCTGCCTGAGGGGGCGTGAGAGCCAATGACGGGGTCCGGCGGATGTCCGCAGCTTCAAGGTGCTGCTGTGTCCATGGGCGTCGATCGATGGGGTCTTCTTCTTCTGATAGCAAAGCCTCATCTTCAGCCTGCAAGGGGAAAATAATACTCCCTGTACATGGGGAAACCACCAGAGGCTGCAGACAGGGAGGAGGGCCAGTCTCCCGCCACCTCCGTTAACCTCCTCCTAGTTTCCTCTCTCCTTCCTGTTCTAACCATGAATTTAATCAATCACCTTCGTTCCCTTGCTCTCAAGATGTGGCTCCTGCTCCTCTCTTCCCAATCATCTGGGCAGTTCTCCCCCCACCTCCCCATCCCAAAGGCTACGCTTGACCCTTAATATGCTACTTTTAGATCTTCAAACCATCATACTCTTGTTTCTGCCCATGTTCTTTCCTCAGTGTGCAGTGGTGTCCCCACCCTAACTCTCTAACTGCTACCCATTCTACAAAAAAGAAATGATAGACTTTAACTCCTCTTCTTGGTCAATTCTGCATCCTGCTTTTCTTTGCTTCACCAACCATGTGCTAAGAACTTACAAGAGTACTATGCGGCAGCCTCTATCAGCAGGTGCTAAGGTTCGTTTCGGAGGGAATAAACCTTGTTTGAAGCTGCCTCCCTGGACTTAACACAGTAATCAGTCAGAGCAAGCACTCAGGGAAGATTTATGAATAATGATAACTATGAACATTTAAAAGCAACTATACTTTATCAAATTCTTAGTATGTTATCAGAAATGGGTAGGAGACATTATTTAATCCTAATAACAACTCACAAGGGAGCATTTATTATCCTTTCTACAGACAAGAAACATTAAATTCAAAGAGGTCAGTAATGTGCCAACTACCAAGCAGCAGTTTGCCCAATCACGCTCTGCTGGCTCCTGCCACACACGGCTCTCCATCCTCACAGCAGCTGCAGCCCAGTCTCGCTCTTACTCCACACAGTTTTAGTTTCCTGGGTTCAAGATGTAGAGCCTCTGAAGTCATTAGCCACCGGCTTTTCTCACTGCTTAACTACACAGACTGACCCAGACACCAGTCCTGACTCAACTAACACGAGCAGGACACTTAAGGAAAGAGGTGTTTTTTTTAGTATTTTTAGAATTTTTGAAGACACACATAATTAATCCAAGGTCATGAATGCCCTAACATCCCTTGCTGTTCATGGGTAACATATTAAAAACTATCACCCTTGCCTCCCATTCAGGGCACTATAGGGAACCAGGGAAGAGAAATTTACAGTGTGATAGAAGACAGCTCCGCCAAGGCCAGCTAGCTTACCTTGGCTTTCTTTGGTTGGGGTCCTTCATCATCCACCCAGTGTTCACTTGTCCCAGAACCAATTAAATTAGCCTCTGAAACTTGCACGGAGAGATTTCTTTGATAGAATTATATAGGGGAGAAACAAGAGTAAAGATTCCAGCATAAACAAGAATGGTTTTCAACACTTTTTCCACCATGGCCCACTCCCAAAGCTACGCTCTCACTTCTAGGGGCCCTCACCACAAAGGACGGGCAATATTGTATGTACAAGCATTCAACCTTTCCCTTCACACTGAGCAAGAGCTTCCAAGGAAAGTATGCCCCAGCACAGAAGCTGCCACCATGGCGATAACATATATGAGCAGAAAAGATGTTTCTAGGCTCTGGCTTCACAGTCATCTGTGAGCCGTTCAGAATTGTGACTGGTGAGATTAACAGCCAGGACTTGGAACTGAACACCACGATTCAGTAAGACATGCTTTTCTATTCACTTCTGCTTCCTATGTGAATTGTGCCTTGGGGGCAATTCCACTTACTTCAGCCCCACAGCATCCTGTCCCACAGGTTCACGACGCTTATGGTTGCTGGAGTCTCGACGAAGGGTGAAACCTTCAGGCAGCCAGAGGGAACCATGCTTGCGCTTTCGTTTTGCCATGATTACTCCCAGCAGGATAATAAACAGGATAAAGACAACAGCAACAGCAAGTAAATAGAGCAGCGGAGTGGGTTTTGGAGACAGAGATTCACCTGAAAGTTCAGAAAGACAGGGTCGGTGTTATATAAAGCAACTTCTTACATTAGCATTAAATTCATTTAGAGGGCTACTTAATGTCACTAGCCCTAAAAAAGCCTTAGCACCAAAGTGTGAGCCCCAGGAATGTCTTTCCCCAATCCTTCCCCCTTAGCACCAATGCTACTCACTGACGACAGACACAAGAGGATATGACAGGGTTCCCTGGATTGCATGAGACGCCAGCAGAGCCGCAGCTGCATCCGTATTCTTGAAGCACTGCTCTGAGTCCTGGACACATTGGCGGTTGTCAATTTCCAGAAACACTTGAGAGCTGCGGAATGCCAAGGAAAAAGAGGAAGATGAGAGACAGTAGGTAAAACAGAAGGCTGCAGGAGGTCCAGAAGGCTGAGGCAAAAACAGACAGGGTTACATGAACCTTCCACCCCGTGGCATATGGCTCTCCAATCTTGAGACGCTGTCTTCAGAAAGGCCTCAGAAATTAGGACTCTGTCCCTTCCGATTCTAAATACTAATTCCTACCCGGAGGGTGTCACAACTCCCTTAACATGGTACAGTGATCCTCCATCTTTTCCTACATGTTCAGTGGCACTCAGTGATATGCTAAAAATGCACCCTGAATGTTTTGGGCCCTTATTCTTCTAGGTCTCTATATTCATACCTCAGCTATCTGGAGAGTTGAACATTGTAGTATATATAAACAAACACTGAAGTATAGATGACAAAATTACTGAAGATTATCGCCCTTGTAAAACAGGTTTAATGCAGGTAAGGGGTCTTGAAAATAAGACAATGATTAACACAAAAGAGAAGACACAGCCAGGCATGGTGGTGCATGCCTATAATAACCAGCACTCTGAGAGGCTGAGGCAGGAGAATCACATATTTGAAGCTCAGTCTGAGCAATTTAACTTAGTAAGATCTTGTCTCAAAATAAAAAATAAAAAGGGCTGGGGATGTAGCTCAGTATCACACACACAAAAAAGAGTATTCAACAATAAAGGTTTTGAGGTGACTCTGGCAGAAGATTAGGAATTCCAGCATTAGAGAAGACTAGGGATCCCAACATCTTCCCACCTACTTCAGTCTACCTTTCTAGACTCCATGATCAAGACAAATCTTTAATCTTAAACGTAAGTACTGGATCACAGGCTTGTGTCAAGTGGTAGGTCATTCTATTTGTTTAAGTTCTGCATTTTTATAGGCTGGGTTCTCTCTTTTGCTTGTGTACCAAAATGCTCAGTTTTATATAAAAACTTTTAAGAAGTTTAAAAACCAAAAACCTACCCAGCCACCTCCTGTTCTTGTTCATCAGGAAGAGACCTTCGTGACAACTTCTGCTTCTTCATGGCAGCTGACTTTTCCCCATAGTAGGGGTACACCATGGGGAGCCCCTGTGAGTCCAGCTTAATGCGTAGGTTAGTGTGCAATAAGGTGCCCAGTGCCCTCAAGAAGCTGCGAGCATCCTGGAGCAGCTGCTCAGGAGGCATCAGCACCACAATGACCAGGGTACCCTCTGCCAGGTTCTCAGGTTGGTCAGCAGCACAGTCCAGCCCATCCCAGCCACACTCCTCACTGTTGCATCCTTGGTCACAGTGGTTATCTTTGAAATGGTCTGCACAGTATTTGTCATACCTAGGCAGAGGAGAGAAATTACAGGGAAACAAGTTCAGACTGGACTAGAAATCTACTTAGTTTTCCACTTGGAACTAGTGTGGATTTTCCTATCCATCTTTTATGGCCTGTATCACGACCCAAATGCCCAGTGAAGCTGTGCTGGAATCATATAGTCTATGCCATGCAAGACTACTGACTGCTCCATCGATGAGGAACAACATTACTGATTATGCTGCACGGACTCAGGGGCTCCTATGCAGCTCACAATCTTAAGTCAGCCTTTTAAACAAAAGTCTGAAGTCAAAGTCAGCTTGATTAATGCTTCTCTACTTTGTATACACTTCTCCCAAAACCAAAAGGCTTTAGGAAGTAAAAGGTTCCAGGTGGCTCCATACTTCCTCCATACCATCAAGAGTTGTTATACAGGGAAACTTGTCAATATGGCCCATTTCATTCCCTTTCAGTAATGAAACCAAACTAGAAGGTAAGGAGAGTTATGTGCCATATAGGTACCAAGTCAAATTTGCAGTCACTTTTCAAATGTATGTCTCAGAAGGTAGCTGCAAATTAACTAGGGTTAAATTAGATGGAATGGTTAATAGAATAGTTATTGTGTAGACCACAAAGCATCCTGTAACTGCAACAAAGACTGAAAGGGTTAAAAGCCCTAATCTAGCTCATTCTTTCAGATCAATCTAGACAGTGAAAGTCAGTCTCAGGGAAAGGAGTGAGGGAAAAGAGAGGTACAGACCTTGCCATCCATCCTGTAGACAGGTTATGTGAGAGGCTGCCTGAGCGTGAGTAACATCATTTCCAAAAGTTATTTCCCCCAGGAGATCACGAGAGCAGCAGGTGAGAAGGCAGAGATAGGCAGAGAGGGGGATGTTTATGCAACGAGCATCCCTGGCCTCTGCAGCAAGGGAGAGAACAGGATAGCATGTGATGGGACAGGGCTGGCACCGTCTGAAGTGCAGAGGCAGCTTGGGCTGAAACACTGCAGTTAACAGTTAGGAGCAAGAGTGAGAAATCAAGGCAGGTTAGTGACAGTGTCCCTCAGCTTCTGTAGAATTCAGTCCCCTTACTTGCAAGTCTTGCTGTTCCCTTGGCATTCAAAGTTGTCAAATAGGCACTCGGCAGTGTTACATAGCTCATCACACTGGTTGTTGATGTAATTCCAGCAAGGCAATGGGGAGGAGCAGTTGGCCCAGGGGTCCTCCATGGTGAGAGAACAGTCACCTCCATCCCACTGGCAGGCATGGCTGTTGCAGACCTCATCGCAAACACCATCTCGAGCTTTGTCAGCACAATACTGACTGGCACAGATGTCGGAAGGGATGCTGGTGGGGGCCATGTAGAACTGACAGTGGTTGCCCCCGAACGGTACAGAGCAGTGGCAAGAGTAATACGGCGGCTGGCGCTGTGGGTAGCAGCTGCCCCCATGCTGGCAGGGGCTGCTGGCACAGCCCGACTCACAGTCCTGAGGGCTGGGGCAGAAGCAGCGGGGCCCCGCGGCCGTATGCACACACTGCTCCCCTTTCCTGCACTTCACCTGTCCACAGCTGCTCTGGCATTTGGCTCCCGAGAAGCCCTGTGGAAAGTGGCAAAGAAATGGAGATGGTGGGTGGACTTGAAGGTTTGCCCCACTCTCCCTTTAACCTCCTCTCCTCCGTATTAGGCAGATAAAACACTAGACCTTAGTTTAAGATTCCTCCACATTGCCTCCTGGGCCATATTCTAGACAGGACATCTTTGAGGCAGCCAACAGATGAAAAGCGAAGGTTCCATGGGGTGAGTGTGGAGTTTTCTCATGTTAATGAGAGTTTACTTTTAGAAATTAAGTCCACAGATCATGCTAGGAGAAGAGCTGGGCAACCTTATAGCCACAGGCACTTCCCCAATCACCTTTAGCCCACCCCCATTATGGTTAGGTGGGGAGAACTATGGAAGTTTTAGATCTCTAGAAGAATTCCACATCTCACTGCATTCTTGTATTTCTTTGTGGTTTTTCTCGTATAGAGTGATCTCTGTTTTAGAGAACTTTTAGCCTTTGGCAGTGCACGGCAAATGACTAGAATTAAGCTTTCTTTTAGTTTAAGTCATAACTTGCTCCCAAAGGTCCCTGCTCAAGAACAGTGTTCCATTCAAACTGGGCAGACAGTGGCTCTAATTCAAGAGGACATCCCACCACTTCTTGTGGTTTTTTCCTTAGTGTTCTGAAGGTTCAAGACTCTAATGGCACATTCCCCAGGACCATCTAAACAGCTTTATATGGAAAAATCCAAGCTGAAACAGAAATCTCCACACTAAGGAACTTGAGAAACCCAGTTTTAATCTCTTTTTGTTGCAGACTGTATGGAAGAGGGCAAGCCCCGTAATCAGTAGTGGGCTACTTACTGGAGGACAACGACAAATGAAGCCATCGGGCATGTTGCTGGCCACAGCACAAGTCCCTCCATTTAGACAAGGCTTCTGAGGACACACATCCACGAAGGTTTCACAGTGACGGCCTCAAAGCGGAATATGAAAAGCAGTGTTACAAGGCAGAAATAGTAGCCTGAAGTTACTGAACTGAACCCCACTGCAATGGGAGCCACGCACAGACTGGAGCAAGGGATGGGAGCTCAGTTCTAAACCTACAGGAATCAAAGGCGATCAAGCAAATATTCCACAAATGCCAATCTAAGGGACCACCATTAATACAGACCCCCCCAGCCCTCCTGTCTACACAGTAAACACAAGGTGCACATTCCCAAAACAACCACAAGAATGGGCAAAAAAGTGACTGAGCACATTTTTTTAAAAAGGTGAAATCACATCTCCATTCTTCAAGCACTTTAGTTTGATAAACTGAAGGAAATGACTAAAGTACTGTTTATTGCATTTTGTTAGTATCTTTCATAGGACAGGCTATACCAGGCTCATGTACCTAAATACAAACTGGTAGTTTACAGAGAATTTTTATCTGTGGTATCTCTTTTCAGTGATACTGGCTTTTCTGTAAACTGTTTGATTTGCTTTTAAATACAGCTTGATTTTCCCAGAGTTAATTTGCCACAAATAAAAAAAAATGTTGTTTTGTTCAATCCTGCCCTACAGTAGCATGACATAATCAATACATAACATACTGCGGAAAATAAAGGTAGAAACTGGTTAAACATCCACAGTGCATAGACCTCACAAAACATAAGGGCTCTCCAACTAAGTTGGTCTGGTTTCTATACACAGGAAAAACTTCTCTGTGGTCTGGGACAAGTCATACAGAGCCCAATCTGTGCCCAAAAGCCTCTGGGGGCCTCACCAGTAAAGGTGCTTCGGCAGACACACTGGTAGTTGTTGGTGAGCTGGATGCAGTCCAGACTGCCCTCGGAGTTACAGGGGTTGGAGAGACACTCGTTGATGTCTCCTTCACATCGCTCGCCAGCAAAGCCAGGCAAGCATCGACAGCTGTAGCCCCCAATCCTGTCCACACACTGACCACCGTTGAGGCAGTGGGGACCCCCAGCACAGTCATCAATGTTCTCTTCACAGAATAAGCCTGGAGGACAGAGAGGACACACAATTTTGAAAATATCTGGAACCCTGGTCTCCACAAGGGACAACCACCTTCCTGGGACTTTCATCAGACTACACTCAATCAATCAGACTACACTCCTCAATCTCTAGTGGAACATTTTAGACCAGGCAGGGTGAAGCGTGCTTGGTCTATGACAGCTGCCGCCTTCCTGATGAGCCGCATGAGGAAAGGAAAAGCACATACCAGGGATCCTATCTTTTCCCCACAGAACAAAGGGACAGAAGCCTGTGGTGGAGGTACTATTGTCTGTCACATCTAAAGGCAAGGAAATTGAGTATCTTAATTTCAATTTAAAAAATATAAAAATAGTTCAAAAAGGATTTAATTTAGTAAATTTACTGATAACTGAAAAATATTGATATGAACTAAAACTGAATTTTGAGTAGTAAATATTTTAACTATTATAGTCACTGATTTTTTTAAAATAGTATACTACTCTACCTTATTTAAAAACAATACATAGGAAAAACGGTTATTCTAACTAAAAACAGAACTTCCACAAATTTAAATGAGCTATATAGTATGAACATTAGCAAAAATTTTTTAGAAAAAAATAAAAATTATCATAGACATTATTCTATGATCAATTTTAAATTACAAAAGTAACTAGTTCGGTATTCCTGCCATTTGCAGCATTTATGGTATACATTAAAAGAAACAAGAGTTAAAAAGGAAGAAAAAGAAATGTGAAGTTAGTTTCATTTTCAATAGCAACTAAAAACATAAAATACCTAGGAGTAATTTTAATGAGTGTGTGCTACCTTATTTGAAGACAACTTTAAAATTATCCTGAGACACATAAAAGCAAACTTAAATAAAAAGACATATCATAATTTGGTAAGGAGGACTCCCTGTGAAAGATAAAAGGTTTCTCTATATTCCACAGATTCAACGTGACCCCAATAAAAATGTACTGGAAGGATTCTTAAATATACAAGCTGATTATAAAACCATATAGAGAAATGAACCATGGAAAACAAGATCTTTAACAAGTAAAACAAACCACTGATAGGTTAACGGAACAATAGAATAAAAAAGGAAGCCCAGAAAAACATCCGAATATACATGGAAACTTAGAATTTGATAAAATCTCAAGTCATTGCACAAAAGAGCAAATTTTTACTATTCGTAATCGCAACATGGAAAAAGTGCTTCAGGATTCTAATACTTGATTATACAAGAATTCCTTTATAACCTTAGTGTATGCAAGGTATTGCTAATTACAAGTTAAGATCCAAAAGCCACAAAAGGGACAGGGATATAGCTAAGCAGCACAAGTGCCTGCCTGGCAAGTGTGAGGTCATGAGTTCGATCCTTGTTGCCAAAAACCAAAAGCCAAAAGTTACAAAAAGAAAAAAAAAAAAAACCCTCACAAATTCAACCTTATTAAAAATGAAATCTCCATGAATAAAAGAAATGTTAAATATGAAAATTACAAACACACATCTTATTCAATCACCAATTCTATTTCTGAAAATTTATTCTACAAATATACTTACATGCATGCAAATGTCTATTACTAGGCCACTAGTTAGGTATTGTTATGATTTACATATAGATGTGTCACACAAAACTTCACACACTTACGGGCGGGTTCTTCAGAGCAGACTGGACCTAGTGTGTATGATACCAGGATTAAGAGTGTGTGGTACTATTATTAGTGCACTGATTGGCTTAGCATAGTTCTGGGTATGGCATAATGGGAAGGCCTAATCAGAGGTGGGTGGCACCAGCCTGCATGGAATGTACAGGGAGAGAGGGAAGTGAATTTGCTGCCTTCTGCCTGCTTTGTCAGGGACTGTTTCTTCTCTGTGGTGCCCCTCTATTTTGCCAGCCTGCCTTAGAGCCAGCTGACTGTGGACTGAAAAGTCTACAAATGAGCCGGTATAAACTTCTGTCCTCCTTTAGCTTGTGGGTGTCAGGTATTTTCTCTCAGCAATGAGAAAATAACTATGACAGGTATATATGTATGTATGGGATGCTCATAAAAGGGAATTCTGGAGCTAGAAAAGACTGCAAAAGTTCTATATTGTGATATGAAAATAACTCCAAATAAGTTTGTTAAAACAAGTGCAAAATATTATGTCTAATATTCTATCTTCAAAGTAAAAACTAGAGGAAATAGAAATATATTTTTGGCTTCTGTTACACACAAAGAAATTTTTTTAATTGGGATTGCATTAAATATGTGTAACAATCTTGGAATTATTGACATCTTTACTATGTTGGTTCTTCCTATCCATGAGCAAAGGGTATCTTTCCATTTTCTGGTATCTTTTTGAATCTCTTTCTTTTCAAAGTACTGTAATTTTCAAAGCATAGTCCTTTACTTCTTTTATTAGATTGATTCCTAAGTATTTGGTGGGGGATGCTATTGTGAAGAGTGTGGTTTCATTCTCTCACAGTGAGTTTGCTGTCTGTGTACAGGAATGCTATTGATTTTGGAAGCAACTCAAATGCCCAGCCAAGGAATGAATTAAAAAGATGTGGTATTTTTCTATAATGGAGTGCTACTCACCATAAAGAAGGATAAATTTGTGACTTTTATAGATAAATGGATGTAACTTGAAACCATACTCAAAAGTGAAATAAGACTCACATGTGTACACATTATATTGTCTCCTTGTGCGAGCAACTGAAAGAGTAAATGAGTTCTAACATGTACAATAGATACTGTGAAATGAGAAGAAACTAGGATGGGTGAAAGAGGAAAGGATGTAGGGAAAGGGAATGTAAGTCAGTCACACTATTAGTCTTTTAGTTCATTAAAAAGGGAAGTCTGTACTAATACCTACTGCAGAAATTTTTATACCACATCTTGTACCCTGAGCAACTACTTTAAAGAGAACAACATGCAATGTATTAGCTACTGTTATCCTCCTAATATCTTGCTTTGAAATGTTGTTTTACCTTTCTTCCATAAAATTTTTTTAAAAACTTTTAAGACACACAAGAAACTTAAAAGTGGTGATTACTGACTTGTGGGAGAAGGAGAATTTGGAGAAAAAGGACAGTGTCTTTATTGCATGCCTTTTCTATTAATGTATGCACATTTGTGGTCTATGTGCATATAGCACTTTATTAGCTATTTTTAAATAAAACTGAAAACAAGAAAGTAAAAACAAAACCTGTCTGTGCACCCAACCTCCTAGAATATTTAATATTTAGGAGCGGTGCATAGGTTCCCTTCAAATGGAGCCACCAATAATGAACAGTTCTATCAAGTGAGAATGAACTCAAACCTCAGTGTGAAGCAGAACAGCAGAAATGGGTAGAACAGCCAAAGATCACCCTTGAACTAGGGAACTGGGGTACTGAGGCCAAGATTCAAAGCTCAGGAGTATCCTGACAGAAACAAGCACTGTGCTAACTCTTACAAGGGAACTTCAGTCTCCTGAAATATTCACTAGTGGATGGAGACATTAAGTGAGGATAAATAAATACATTACATTCTACAAATCTAAGCAAACACACATAGGACCACATATTCAATGATAATAAGTAGAAGAAACTCAAAATGATTACTCCTATACATATTATCATTAGACCACTGAAGACAAAAACAAAAAAATCTTGAAAACAATGAGAGAAGTGACATCACAAATATGGGAATCTCAATAATACTAGCAGATGACATTAAAAACTATGGAAGAGAAAACACAGTGGGAACACACTCAAAGAAAAACAAGAACTTTTGACTAACTCTCTCCATAAACAATAGTGAGAGTTCTTGACGGGGTAAGGGGTGGGGATGGTGGAGGCAACAGCAGTGCCCATAGCAGAAAAATGACTCCCGGCACTCACTCTGGGGCTACATCCCATTCCTGTAACAGTGCAGCATTCCACAGAGCAAGGTGTCAAATCCATGGCATGCAAGCTGCATCAGTTATTTGTGTCACTGTAAGCTCTAAAAGGTTCAGCATCCCTGCCTTAGAGGATCAGCCTCCTCCCCCAGGATTGAAAAAGAAAGCAGATGCTTTCATTTTATTCATTGCCTTCCCTGCTAGAAGCAAGACTTGGCTTGCCTCTACACAAAAGCAGACAAATGTGAATTATTTACTCAAAAGACTACTAGCTGCTTTTATTTGAAGCACCAAGAAATCTTGCTGAGTAGACTAATTTTGTTGTAACAGTGTATCAGTATGACATTCTGTTTTCTGGAATGTAAGATGTCAAACCACCCAAAAGAACTGAGAACATGAATCAGCGCTAGCACAGAGGAGAGGATAAAATGGCTTACATTACTGTGACGCAGAACTAAATGCTTTTAACAAAGCTAGTTAATTATCTAATTTATAAAAATCCCTTCAATACTAAGAATGGATCTGTAGCCTAGAGAATGGCTTAGATAAGAAAAAAGTAATGCTGATTTCATACCCCTAGTGCCTGGTGGGCACGAGCACTTGAAATGGTTCACGAGGTCAACACAGGTGCCTCCATTCCGGCATGGCTGATTCTGACACTCATCGACTTCATATTCGCAGTTGACACCCTGATATCCTGGAACACACTGCCAAGAAAGGGGAAACAGAAAAGGACACGGAATGTTGGGTTGTGAGTGAAAACAGAACAGAAGGGCAAGCGAGATCTGGCATGCTACTATGACCCTGTCCCCTTCACCTTAGCTCTTACAGGTTCCCCTGTACGAAGCATATCACTCTCTGCTTATCATCCTATGCAGGGCCAATCTCCAGCTTAGCAGTATTTACCTATTTCTCTTCTAGCTGAAAACACAACTTTACAGGTAAGAGAAGGACTAAATTTTCTGAGGGTTATTTTCCATATGACTCCTGTTACAGCTTGTGTCCAGATGTCCTCCAAAACCTCATGGAGTCACAAGTGGGGCTTTTTCAGGGATGGCTGAATCTGGAGTGTGTGATACTAAGATTAAGGGTATGTGGTTACTAAGTCAGTTCACTGATTGGTTTGGCACCCATCCTAAGCCCAGTAGCCTAAGCAGAATACAAAAGGAGTGGAAAAAGCTATTAAAATGAGTTGGCCTTGCTTCTTCACTTTGTTGTTCTGCTACCTTCTTCCTGCCAAGAATAGTTTCTCCTCTGCATGCCTGTCACCATGCCACCCTGCCTTGGAGCCAGCCAATTATGGACTAAAATCACTACAAACTGTGTAAATCTTTTCTTAACTCTGGGTATTGAGTATTTTGTCTGAACAACAAGAAAAGTAACTAAGACAACTGCTATGCAGAACTTCTGTTCCTCTTATGTACAAATTCCCCCATCTGTAAAATATGCATTTCATGTGTGCATGCAAGTAAAGATAACGCACGCATGAAACCTCCAGTTTCCTACAACTACCCATATTTTTGGGAAACTGACTAAGGCAGCGATAGGGGCTGGAGAAGATGGGGCTAGCTGACTATGGTTCATATACGATGGAGTAGTTGGAAGAAATTTAGGACTAATACAGGATAACGACAACTATGAGATAACTTTATCTAGGCCACACTTTCCATGTTTGCATGTTGGACAAGTCCCTCACACTGTATGACCATCTAGCAGGGGAAGAGAGGGAGAGCAGAAGAGAAAGTGGGCTCCAGGAGAGGCCTCGGAGAGGAAGCACAGGAGTCCAGGAGATGTCACTAAGAAGCCCAGTAGCAGATCTCTGCAGAGTGCTGAAAGGCAGCATCAGTTGGGTCTTTTCAGCCCCAGGGTTTATCCAGTCACTGGCCAGGAGGTATTGGGTGTACATATAGGCTATGCCAGGTAGGCAGGCTCTAAATGACTAAAATCTGCTTATTTAACCTATGTTTAGAACAGCTGGGTGTACAGAAATTTGAGTTTAGCACTGGCAGGCTTTTCAACTAATGGGCCCCAGGCCACTATGAAGAAATAAACAATTGAGGTAACACAAGAAAATCAAAACCGTTATTGATGTTAGGTGGCCTGACCTGGTCTCAATTTCATCTCTGTTCTAACATTTTGTTCTAATTGCAGTCAGTTCAGACATTAAGAAGGCAGTAAAGTGTCCCTTAAGGACCATCTTTTTTTAAATACACACGTTAGCATGGTGCTACAGTAAACCAGGTTGAACTACTTTTTTGAAAGACAGAATTATTAGCTGATTGTCAGTGACTCTATATATCACTTTTACATGGACTGAAAAGCCACTGTGCCAAGTGGCTAGTCCTAGTTCATGTGCCACTCAGGGAAGTTCCAGGAGCCATAATGGTGAGCGGGCCCATGACATGCACCCTGGTTGCAGCTCCTCGTTCAAAATCCTGCCAGTGACCCAGTTACAAAAAATGGTTCCAAAACCCAATAAAATAATCTTTCTAGGGTTATACTAATATACAGCATAGGGAGGCTGAAGAAAATAGTGATGATAGGCAGTAGCAGGGTGTCTAGTAAAAATTTACAAACCATAATAAACATAATAGTAAGCAGCTTTTAGCACTTTAGTGCTCTTAAGAGTTGTGCAACCTCTTGGCACATTCTTGTCTTCCTCACCTCACATCTGTATCCACCAATGAAATCAGTGCAGGTAGCACCATGCTTGCAAGGATTGGATGCACATTCATCTAGCTGCTGCTCACAGTAGCTTCCCGTGTACCCCAGTGGGCACTGGCAGTGATGTGTGTTGCCAGCGTTGATGCAGGCACCTGAGTTCTTGCATAGGTTCTTGGCAAGCACACCTAGGAGATATGGAGGGGAAAGGGGCATCATAGAAGGGAAAATGACACGCATTAGATTCAGGTTAATTAATGGGCAATCAAATCTAAGGTGGCTGATACAGCAAATGTTATCCTTGTCCAGTTTTTCATAACTCTCATTACCAGATCTGTATTAAATAAACCAGCTCTGAAAGTGGAGTATGCCTTAGGTTCTTTTCAAATACCCTCCCTTTTGCAAGCTTTTCAGCCTACTCCACTGTCCTTTCTCCAGAGCTGTGCCCACTTACTACTATCTGTCTTTCCCTCTTATTCCAAAGTAACATCTTTCTGAAAATGCTACTGACCAGTTCATATTTGCCTAGCTTGTTCTTGAGCCCCAGAAGCAGAGCTCACCTTTATTGAGGGCTGCCACATCACAGGAGACGTTTGGCACGTCACAATATGCACCAGTCCATCCAGATGGACACAGACACCGAGACTCTGCCTTTTCCTGAATGCAAGTGCCTTTGTTTTTACATGGAGACTGGCTGCAGAGGTTCACCAGGGTCTGAAGCAAAGGCACAGGTACAGATAAATCAAAATTCAAATACCAGAAATGAAGACAATATGTAATATTACAAGAAACCAAGGAATATATATGATTTTTTTAAAGCCCCTTTTCAACCCTTAAACTATATCCAGTGTTCCAGGTGCAGGTTATCAGTTCTATAAATTTCTCTTTCTTCTGCTTTTAAAAAAGTTTTTAACACGATGTTTATGAATATGAGGAAATCCAATAGGTAAAGTTATTCTCAGCACTCTAGACATGATTATTGCTATATATACAGCCACTCAGTAGGACGAGAAAAAAAGAAGCTGAGGTGTCAGATACTCTTTGTGAAAATCCTTCATGAAATCCACATGGCTCTTGACCACCTGTCTGTGCTGAAAATGGATAAAAAGACTTAAAACCTGTTAAGAAGCCTAGAACTGTCAAAGAGTAGATTTTCAAGGGGTGAAAATTAAGGTTATGAAAAACAAGACAGAGAGGTAGGTTACAGCCACAATAGGGACTGTTGGCTGGCAGAAGATACCAGGGTACAACCCTGAAAAAGAAAGCAGAACTCACAGAAGAAGGTGCTCCAGAGCCATGGACTCGGCACCAAGCTGCTCAATACACAGAAGTGGTTGTTTGCACAGCCAAAAGAACCAAAGTCTTAGGGGCTGGGGATTTAGCTCAGCGGCATAAGCACCTCCCTTGCAAGCAGGCAGTCGTGAGTTCGATACCGGGTACCAATAAAAAACGAAAAAGACAAAAAAAAAAAAAAGAACCAAAGTCTTTCTGAATTGCACTTTATATGTCACATTAAATTCTGACATTTACTTCAAATTCTTCGGAATTCTGTTATTTTCTCATTCTTGCAAAGATAAAGTTAGCATAAAATTAAACAGTGCTGTTGGAATCCATATAGTGGATATTTGGAAAAGTCTAACTCTAGGACGGCTCTAAATTCACATATTGCTCCTTAGGAGTTCAGTTTCTCTTCCCTAAACTGAGAGTACAGATTTGTTTCTTATAAGGACTCCTTCTACTCTAAGAATCTATGAAAATCTGTATGTATTTAAATTTACTTATTACTAGTATATGCTTGTGGTGTAAGGATTACACTCCTTGTGGGAGTTGGTACATGTGTATAGCACATCTTAATTCTTTGTTTCTCTCTTTTCCCTCCTTTCTAGGCCCTTCCTTTCATCTTGTGACCCTTTTTCCTTTTACAAAAGATCTATCTCCCTTTTTCCTATTATCTATAATTTACCTTGCTCTTCATATTTTAAGTTTCTCATATTAGAGAAACACTGAGATATTGAAGCTTGAGGGTCTGATCTATTTCACTTAGCATTATGATTTACATGTACACTCATATTCCTACAAATGTCTCGTTTAGTTTGGTTTTAAGTCTGTTAAAGACAAAGATGTTGTATTTGACTTTTAAAGACTTCGTTTCAATTGCTTTCTCCTTTTTTGTGTTTGTTTCCCACACACTTTTTGTATTCCTTTATCAGCCTCTTAAAAATTCTTATGCTCGTTAATCCATATTATATTGTAGTATCACCAGTTTGGAATCCAGCTATTAACAAATTACTCATACTTTTTCTCAGGGACACTCCTAAATTCCACAGTGCTCTTTTGTAGAAAGGCCTTATCCTGCACAGGAAGGAAAATGTGCAATACTCAGTGACTCTGCAGAAGCTGAGTGAAAATGAGGGAAATCAGTCACCTGGCAGTTCTTCCCAGTATACCCCAAGGGGCAGGTGCAGCGGTAGGTGCCCAGACCATCAACACATGTCCCCTCATTGAGGCACGGATGAGAGCTGCATTCATTGATCTCGTGGAGGCAGAAGGGACCAGTGAAACCCACAGGGCACAGGCAAGAGAAGGAGTTAATCCCATCCACACAGGTGCCGCCATTGAAACAGGAACTGAGGAACAAACAAGGAAGGGGCAACCTCAGTGAGGAAAAAGCTTCCTCTCACTCAGTGTTTCACATGCAAAGTTGCTGGAGTCCAAGGTGTTGCAGCAGCAATACCCTTGAGCATTCCAAATCCTAGCATCCACTAAATTTTTCTTTCTCCCAAAATAGACTAGTACCAGTATTCTTTCTACAACCAAAGGTTCAGGAATATTTAAAGGTCTGAGGTTATTGTAGATTCCTAGGGAAAGTGAAAATTTTCTGGGTTTTGTTATGCTTCTGCAGTCTTTCACATCATTGTTTATAACTAGGTCAATTTACTTTATATAAAAATACTAAATAAATTCTCTTAATTCTGAATTTGTTTATGAAAGAGAAACAGAACAAACATGTTCACAATGTAAAGAAAACAAACCTCTAAGAAATCACTTAAAGAGCAGTAACAAATCTGCAAAGAAATTGGAATTCTTAGAACAAGAGACCAAAGGAAAACAGAACAGAACTATAGCTTTTTCTATTTTCTAAACACATTTTTCAAGATTTTCAACTTCTGACCTTTGACTTTCTAACTATGTATCTATCTTGTTAGGTGTGGTGGTACATCCCTATAATCCCAGCACTCTGGGAGGGGGAAGCAGGACAATTTCAAGTTCAAAACCAGCCTGGGCAACTTGGAAACTTAGGGAGAGCCTGCCTCAAAACATGTAAAGAGGCTGGAGATGTAGCTGTACACTCAATCTCCAGTACTGAAAAAATTTAAATATTATACATCTATTAGGAATCAAGAACTGGGGAATCAGAGATAACTCTGGAGTGGGACCCATGCAAATGCCTTACCCCTGCCCCACAAACAGAGTTTCTTCCCTCTCTCTTCCTCTTCCCTTAGACACCAATGTCCCAAGTGCATGAGCTGCTTACCTGTCAGTGCACTCATCAATGTTGTTCTCACAGTGGACTCCATCGAATCCTGCCTGACACTTACAGGTGTAACTGTTGACATAGTCAGAGCAGGTCCCTCCATTCTTACAGGGTTCACTGAGACACTCATTCATGTCTGTCTGGCACTTATCCCCAATGAAGCCAGGAAGGCACATGCAGGAGAAAGTATTCACTCCATCCACACAGGAACCTCCATTCTGGCAAGGATCTAAGTCATTGACAAAAGAGTTAGAGCCTTGGTATGGCAGCACCCATTTAACTTAGACTCATACTGGTGAATGATCTAAGTAATGCTAAGGGTAGCATAACCCTGACTCTCATAACTTGGGTCTTTTCACAGTATTTTGCCCTGAAGCCTTCATTTATGAAAATACATGTCTGAGACATGTATTTAGTAACACGTGTCTGAGACTTTAACATGCTTAAAGAATGAGATAAAATTAATCTGTATATTTGCTAATAATTTTACAGAATTCACTGACTCATAAAATGTGGGAAACCACCAAGCTGCACTCCCCTGAGAAACGAAACCTCTTGCCTCCATCCTTACCTGACCTTTTACTTCAACCCTATCCACTGAAATATGCAGAACTCGCTCTACGAAAACGCATGCTCCCTTAATTGGTCAAAAGAATGCAATCTAGTATGGCTGAGGCTCCAATATGTCTCCCTGCAGCATACATGTGAGAATAGGCCCCATGATGATGGCTGAAATGGGAGTTTAAGCAAGAACCCATGAGATTCTAGAGCTAAGACATGATTTCATCTCAGCTGAGGCCATGAGACTCACCTTCCTAGCATTTCATATACTTCCTTGCATACGTCAAGCTATCTGCTGCATCACTAACTGGGGAGCCTCTGTGCCTGGAGCAAGAGTGCTCTGTTTTCTCTTACATGCCATGCCTGCAAAGAGTCCCTTCCATGTGCTCGGCAGCATCCTGCACCTACCACCTGATTGGTACCATTCCAATACCAGGCCAAGAGTGCTCTGACTCTTGGCCTTTTGTTCCATTTAGAGCAAAAACTGCAGATTTTTCTCTTTTTCTTTCTTTTCATCCATGTGCCATACTGCTGAGTGGGAAACTGATAACCTCTGTGGGGTTTCAATAATAAAACTTGCACTGTCCCCCCCAAATTTATAATCAAATATGTGACCCAACACACAGGTCATCATCAGAAATGGCAGTCAATATTTTTAAAAGGTGTCTGTGGCAGTGAAGTGGATAATGGAAAACAGAAAATGTGAGTATGTGTGTGTGTGCACGCATGTGTGCACACATATACACACGTATTCATTCTCTTTGTTCCATAGAATTTAACTGATTATCCCCATCCCCTCTCACACTCCCTGCTTCTCTTTATTTCTATTACCTTCTTTTAGATTTCCATAATTTTAGGAAATAAAGATTTTTATGTTTGTAAAAAAGCATTTTTAAATATCATACTACCTGATTTTAGAACACTCTATACTTTCGGCAGAATCAACAAATGTTGAGCTACAACAATTCAACTGTCCAACACAATACAGATGGCATACAAATCAATACTAGTAACTCCAAAATGTAGCTATTGCTGTTAAGGACATTAAAATACAATTGCAAAGATAGGTCAAAAGTTTAAAAAGAAAGCTAAACACTAAACTAAAGGATAAAGTACCTCTATTTTAGTAAAGAAACATTTAACACACCTCATTCATCCATCTAACCAATTATATTCTAAGCCTTATCTGCAGTCATTTGAGTGACCAAAAAATTACTTTATCCTTTCTTAACCAAGTACATAGTTACCATAATTTTCACTGAATGTTTTGAGAAACTCACAAAAATTTACTGCATTATTTTACACTCATTGTAAATAATACTGACCCCACTTCGTGTAAGAAGCAACTTTACTGAGTATCTGGCATGAATGTGGGAAAGGAATGCAAATAGTTTGAGCCTGTTCTTTAATTTCTCCATCAATTGTGCCTTAAAAATGTGTTTTTTCCACCACTTGCCAGAAACTGTTAAAATTATTTGTCTGCATGTCTTTCTTCCCTAACAGACTTCGGGGCTTCATGAAGGTAGGGTAAAGGCCTAAATAACACTATTAGTTGTCTTGAATTAATAACATTTATAAATTAACCTATATAGCATTATACTACTAGAAGAATTAAGTTTGTTGTTAAAAACTTTACCAAAAGAAGATTGCATGCCTCATTTTTTGGAATAAAAATATTCTAATTTATGTAAAATCTTCCAGAAAATAAAAAGGGAAAAAGTATAAAACTTTTAGAAAAAACTAGGAGCTAAATCTCAAATAACTTTGGATTAGACAAAGATTTTTTAAATAAGGTAAGTGAAATAGAGACTATAAAAGAAAAATACCAATATACTCATTTTCATCAATATCAGTAACATTCTCTGCAAAAGAAGACCAAGAAAACCTATAACTTCAGAGGAAACAGTACAGCAAATATCTGACCAACAATTTGTATCTGGAATATAAAGCACTCTTTCAATTCAATAAAATCATAAGTAACAAACAACCCGAGATTTTCAAATGGCCAAAAACTTGAATAGACATTTCAGAGATCACATGAAAACATGGTTAACACCACTAATAAATAGGGTAATATAAATTAAAATCACAGTGAAACAACACTACAAGAGCCAAAATTAAAATGACTTATATTGCTAAATACTATGTAATTAACTAGTTCTTTACAATTCTGTTCAGAATGAAAATGGTACAAACACCTTGAAAAACATTTTGGCAATCCCTTAAAGTTGAACATACACTAACTTATCACATGACTCATCCTTTCTACTGTTTGGTACTACTCAAGAGAAATGAAAACACCTATCATGACACTTTATCTGTAATACCTGAGAACTGGAAAAAAAAAAAAAAACTTAAATGGTCATTAACCAGTGAACTAAAATACGGGGTGGGAATCCCTACCCGAAAAGTCTGAAATGCTCTAAAATCTGAGTGTACACATGTATCACAAATGGAAAATCCCACATCCTATTTCTTATGATGGTGGGTTACAGTCAAAATGCAGGTAAAAATATTACATGAAGCTGTCTTCAGGCTTGTATGAAAGGTGTGCATACAAACATAAATGAATTTCATTTTCAGGCATGGGTAACACCCTTGTATTGTTTCACTGTGCACATACGAAAACTGTAAAATCCAAAAAAATCTAGAACATTTCTAATTTCAAGCACCTCAGATAAGGGATACTCTTATCTATATATCCATATAGTAAAATACTACTCATTAATAAAACAGAATTAACTACAGGTACAAAGAGCAAAATGTACCAATCACAAATATTATATCATGCCAACTGCAACAAGTCAGAATCTCTCCCTCAAAAAGAGCATGTTACTTATATAAAATAGTAAAAAAAAAAAAAAAAAAAAAAAAGAATGCCAGCTCTTCTGTAGTGACTTAAAGTAAATCTCTGGTGAGACAAGAAAAATGAGATGGAAAATTACAACCGGATAAGAATATTTGTAGAGGGACAAACATGTTCATTATCATAGATGGTGGTTTTGGTAATCATGCTCCAAAATTTAATGAACTATATACTTAAAATACTTACAGTGTATTGTCTCTCAAAAATATGTACGAGAAAACTACAGCATTGTTCCTATTTGTTCAATGTTCAAAATGCCATCTAAAAATGCTTTAAAATCTAAAAATGCTTTAAAAAAAGAGATTCCACTGTCTTGGTACCTAAAGACCAACTTCAAAAGGAAGATCTGAAAACAAACAAGCACCATGTGTGGTGGTGCATGCCTAAAACTGCAACTCCTAGGAAGGCTAAGAGGATCTTGACCTGAACATAGACTGAGCAACTTGAAGACACCCTATCTCAAAACTCAAAATGATTATGTTGCTAATTTTGAAAGGCCTTTGTTAAATTCCCAGGGCCACCAAAAAAATTGACGGGTATTGCCAACGTCAGCATTAGAGACAGCAGCAGCCCCTGAGTTCATCTCTTCTGCTCCCTTTGGGCTGCTTCTTCCTTCGAGGCTTAGCAGCTGGCTGGGATACTCACTGGCAAGGCAGTCATTGATGTCCTCCTCACAGTCCATACCACTGAAGCCCGGAGGACACTCACACATGTAACTTCCCTGGGTGTTATGGCAGAGACCATGGTTCATGCAGGGCTTGGAGACACACTCATCAATGTCAACCGTACATCGCTGACCTGGAAACAAGGAACAGTGAACTGCCTCCTGCTCTTCAGAAGCTGATTCCCACAGAAACCTACGTGGGGTCTGAGCTTAGCTGGAGCCAAGGGAGGGGAATGCTTGAAGGACACCCTGGCATCCTGGGAAGTTCCTGGCAAGTTTCTGCTAAGGTACAAAAACTCCCTCTACAAAGAACACTATGGTTTCAGACTTTTGATTTGGAGTTTTCAGCCACTAGAGGGCCCCCAAGACATGGACAATGCATTCTACTCAGCAACTCCTCTGCTAAGCCTGAGAGTTTGACAATGATTAGTAAGCAAAGAAGCCCTGACAGGGCCTTTGTGTCTTCTGCCGACCTGACCACTTTGTCTACAACTGCAGAAAAAAATGCATGCACTTGCTTCTCCACCCCCATTCTATTACCTTGCCAGCCAGGAGCACACAAGCAAGTGAAACTCTCAAAATTTGGTGCCTCTTTACAAACAGCAGCATTCTCACAGGGGTTTGGGGAACAGGGAGCCAACACTGTTTGACAATTCTTGCCTGGAAAATAAATGATAGATTTTAAGACACAAAACTAGCCAAAGAAGGAATAATTTCCCCAAATTGTATGCCTAGCATGCTCTCAAGCAGTGGTTTGGAAGCTCTGAAATCTGAGAAACTTAGATCCCCTTATCTTACACTGCTGACTTTGTAACCCTGGGCAAGTTATTTATTTTCTCTAAGCCTCCCTCATGAATAAAAAAGAATTTGAAGGATACATAACTCAGCATTTTTAAGGATTAAGTGAAAAAAATACAGAAAAGTCCTTATTTGCTGATCAGGTGCAGAGTGAGCATTCAAATGCTATCAGACCGCCATCCCCTTCACTGTTACAGCTGTATTAAAGACAGTTTCTGCATCTCTATAGCTAAGACTTAGCTACACACAAGCTCAGCTTCACAGATGCACCTTGATAACATCACGGAAGCAAGAGCAGAATAGCTTCCTGTGCCCACCCAGCTACCCTGCTCTGGGGAACAGGGTTGACCAGAACACTCCTCAGAAGTGGGAAACAGGGAAGGAGCTCCAATTTTTGGGCAGCTTGTCTCATTGCAACAATATCAACCTGTCACTGATATCTGCCCACCAACACTTTCTGTCTTAGCATGTTAGATATAAGCTCCCAGCAATATTAAATAAAAATTTTTCTATTAAAGAGAGATCAAGTTATAACAAACCTAACTTTAAACTTTATTCTAAATATTTGTAAGAAAAAAAAATTCTGCAAAATTTTACCAATAGCCCCAAACAAGTTTTCAGTATCTGGTCAGAATAGTGACCTACAAATAACAGCAATATGGCTTGGTGCCCTTTGCTGACAAAGCTTAGAAACTTGAGCTACATGAAATAAACATGCTAACCTATATACAAGTCTTTTGGTTAGATTTGGTTTTCCAACACCACAAACTATAAATTCTTTAACTAGATCATTCTCTAATGAAAGACCAACCACCCACATACCACCAAAAATTCTCAGGATATCTGAGTCGCTTGATAACAATGTAGGTTTTCTCAAGATGAGCTGACATCGAAGACACTGTAAAGGTCTTACACAAGTAAACCTGTGAAGTGGCTGAGCATGGTCACAGCTGTATGTATGTTACCATGGCTGTCAACTCCTGAGTCTTCACAGTCACAAGATGATCTCACTATCAATAAACAGGATCAGCGCTGTCTCTGTGGAATGATGTTACTCATACTATGCTTGGGTCTAAGGTTCATCTGAATCTTTCATAACTTTGATTTTATAAAGCCAGGAAGGATAAATACAGTTTCCCTACAGTAGTATTTCTTTTAGTTATGCCTGTGATCCTCCTGCTGGTCTACACAGCTCAGGATCACTATGCACTGCTGTTACTAGTAGTCCAAGACTCGGAGATGAGTAACACGGGCATGAAATAAGCAAACCCATGATTCATGGTTTTGTTTTTTCTCATGGATGAGAGGAAGCAAGCAAGGCACATATAAGCACAACCAATCACAGGATGGCCATAACAGAAATGCCTCAAGCACACAGCAAAATACAATCTGAAACAGAGAACTGATGTGAAATGAAAATCACATCTGTCCCTTCTCCCAATGTGAACCAATCACAGGCAAATGGTTCTGAGTGAGACAGAGGTTAAAGTATGGGGAAAGGAATGGCAGTTACCCGGAATTAGAGACTCACAGGAAATCCTCGATCTTCTACTTACTTTTCTGAGTTTCCTAGGGCTCAGCTTTGTCATGTATAAATTGGTGACAGAAAATTCTACATTGTAGACTTACTGAGGATAAGATTAAGCAGCTCAAAGTACAGAAAGTGTGTAGGTTCTAGCTGTGTAACTCAGTGGCAGAGCTCTTGCTAGCACATGTGAGGCCCTGGATTCAATCCCCACAACCACCTAAAAAAGTATTTAGTATACCATAAATTATCAATAAATGGTAGCTGCATTACTGAAATTAAGACTAATAGAAAAGTTGATGGGAACATGATCCATCCCAGTGAGAGTAGAAACCACTATCTGTGTAATAGGTTTCACCTGTACATAATTTTTTAAAAAAATATTCAAGTTCCAAAGTATAAAGCGGGTAAATGTATTTCTCCATCACAGCATTTTCTCAAAACTCCAGATGCAATCAGCAAGCACAGGAAGGACAGCCAGGTAATGAGTCCCTAGAGTAGCACCAGTGCCTCAGGCACACAGCACAATACCATCGAACCACAGACCTGAATCCCTCAGACTCCGACACACGCACTGACATCACACAAACACACACACACACCTGCACTGCTGGCACCTGCGGCACCCACCTGTGTAGGGCAGCGCACACTGGCAAGTGTAACCACTAACATCATCAAAGCAGGTTCCTTGGTTCAGACATGGATTTGAGGCACATTCATCAATGTTCACCTGGCAGTTGTAGCCTATGGACAAAAAGGGAGAGAAATTACACACAGTGAAACTGTCCACTTCCTCACTACCTGAATTACTGATGCACTTTTTCAGGGTTAAAAATTAAGACTACTGTCATTTCTTCGGGCCCCTGGACACCATCTCATTCATTTTGGTCACAAGTCCATGACATACAACTATAAATAGTCAATCAGTTAAAAAGATGGAAGAAAGAACAATCTTTTCTCATGTCCTGAAAATCTAATGCTTCTCCAACTACAAGTAATTTCTTGGTAATGCAACTAGTATTCCTTCAGGCTGAAAAGTTTGTTGCTTGATGCAAACAAGACCCTTTATATGATGTTTCCAGTTAGAAAAAAGACAAAATATTTTTGAACACAAGCAAAGCCTCTGGTTTATGCCTATTTGTTCGTTTGTAGAGTCTTATCACGAATGTGGCACTTCCTGAAGTCAACAGTGTTGTTTTGTCCTGATACAAGCCATAAAACTTATTTCCATTAAAAAGGGAGAAAAGTAATAAAGGATTAGTGGGAGTAGTACAGTACCCAAATGTTGAATACCTTTGTATCTTCAATATAGTTTGGCACAGAGCCTTAAAAGAGAGGAACTATAGCATCTTGAAGAAGGAATTGATGGTCTAGGAACACAGAAGCCTGGGTTCAACTGTACTCTATTGCTCCCAGGGCAGGAACACTTGAATTTTACATTTTGATTTTTAGTTTTCTCACTGATAACCAAGTCTCAATAAGATCAAAAAAGGAAGATGCTTTTGAACCTACAAATTTCTTTGTAAACATAATGCAACATATCTAAAAATTAATAACTGAAATATGGTCTCAGGAAAATTGTAGGAATAGGCTAAGTACGCCTTAGCTGAAATGTTTGGTATCAGAAATATTTTCTTACTTAAGAATTGTGAACTGAAAAAGTAGTGAGATCCAAAATGTACAGCAGATATTGTAATAATGAAAGGGAAAGAAAGTGCTCAAAAGGAAAGAATACCTTATAGGTATATACATATAATTGTATGTAGGTTTAAGTGTGCAAAATAAATAACCATACTACTAATTCTCTGTTAGCTCATCAAAAAGAATAGTTTGTACTGTCATTGTTTGATTGGTCGTTTTTTATGCTTATATTGTGTAACTTCTAGTTACAAAATGTACTTCTAATGTACTTCTAAAATAACAATATGGAATATATTAACTAGTGTTGAATTCTTACTGTTTTTTTTAATATTCTGTATTATTTCTACCCATTTCCTGTTTTGCTTTTTAAAAATAAAGAATTGTGGGAAGTTTGGAATTCTTTCTTATAGTCAATGAGATATCCTGAGGCTGGAGTATAAACAGAAAATTAATTTATGTTTACTATATATGCTATATACATAGACTGAAGGTAACTTTAAACAACATTTTAAAGTAATTTTGTACATGAAATTAAATTTCACACATAGGTCAGATGTGGGCGTTCCAATCATGCCACCATGTTGGCACACAGAAAGTTTCAGATTTTGAAGCACTTTTAGATTTCAGAGTTTTGGACTGGGATGTTTGTTCTGTAATCAAATAAAGTGGCTCTAAAATGTTTTGATGTATCACAATAGCCGAGTACAATTTTTGAGTGGGTAAATCAATGAATGCATAAATGAGTATAAATATAATTTACCCACTGATGTATCTCTCCTGAGTAGTAGAACTACAACATAGACAACTCAAAAAGAAAAACATCTTACATAATTCTCATTCTATGCCTTTTTCTAGAAGGCAATAGGACACTAAGTATCTAAGAATATCTCCATGTATAAAGGTTTGTTACAACCCGTAGCTAAATTATCATAGAACCAAAGCAAGATCATAAGACACACACCCAGAGTTGTAAGTGTCTTAACTGATCTTCTGAAATACTGTTTCAGCAGCTTATCTCTCTGCCAGGTAAAGGCAGACATTATATCTATTCATGCTTTTATTCCCCAAGTGTTTCATCAATACTAATTGCTCAATCACATGCTACTGAATGCATTAGAAATGAAAACAAGTGAGTCAAGCAGTATGCAACAAGAAGACGACAGATGCAAGAACACATGCTTTGTTTTTACCTTTAAAGCCCTTCTTGCAAGTGCACTTGTATCCATTTACCAGATTGTCACAAGTTCCTCCATTTTGGCATGGGTTAGAAAGACATTCATTTTTGTCCACTTCACAGTTGATTCCAACCCAGCCTGCATCACAGAGGCACTTATATCTGAAAGACGGCAGAATTTTGTTCTTGTCAGAGGTCAAACGTACAACTGAGTCACAGGATGAAATAGGAATTGGTGAAGAAATGCAGGAACAGAGTTCAGAAGCTAATCTTCTATAGCTGTATATCTGTATCACTATGCACATGATGTAAATCACATCAGCCCATTTAGTATGTTTGGGTCATGAAGTAGTAGAATTGATTATAGTGAAATTTCATATATAAGCAAAGCTTGCCAGATATATTGGGCTAATCAATCTGCAGCAAACACTAACACACATAAATCTGTTTGCTTTATTATATACAAAACAAAGGTAAGGCAAGCCTTAGGAACCTGGTTTCTGATGCAAAACAGTTAACAAGAAATAAGTTAATGCCAGAGACTCAGGCACACTGGGGAGTTACTGGGATGCTTTACATCTGAGTCATGCTTTAATCTGACCTGAAACATTGTCTCAAGGAAACGCCTATGGTTTGAGCAAGAAAACGCAAAAAAAAAAAAAAAAAAAAAAAAGAAAAAGAAAAAGAAAAAGATCTGAAATTTACACATAATCCCCCAGTGGAATGTCACAGCACTTAGAATGTGCAATCAAAAGATGACAGGCATCTTACTTAGATTGTAGGAACAGAGTATATGGGGAAAGGTGCTTTGAAGACTGGCATACTCAAACAGGAATATTGAGTTAATCCATTATTTAGAAAACTTTGTTTATCATATATTTCTCAAACATTTTTTTCTTTCACCTGTTGGAAGCTTGGCAAATGGCAATGCTCAAGGGACCAAAGATCTTAGGCTATTTTTTTTTTTTTTTTTTTTTTTTTTTGGTACCAGGAATGAACTCAAGATCTTGTACTTGCCAGGAAGGCACTTGTGCCACTATCTCTTGCCCAGATCTTATGCTTTCTTATGGCAAGCTCAAGGGACCAAATATTACCCCATAGTTTCAAAAACTACCAATATATCTTATAATTCTGGGGGTTATGTCAACGACAAATACTTTATCAGAACTACATCTACAGTTGGCTGAACCAATTGCACCCAAAATGTACTATGATAAAACTAAGCTGGTATTTAAGGAGGGGGCAAAAATTAAGCTAGAACATTCCTCAATTTCAAACTCAATCTCATAGTAAGATTCCTCACATGAAATCCTTCTGATCATTTATATAAAGAAGATAATTCTTATTTTCCATCTAGGACGTCAGTATAGAAAGAAAGACAACTTCCATGGACAAGGTGACACTCTGAAAGACTTTAAAATAGACTACCAAAACCTTCCACCAAGTTTCAGCTCAAGTTTCCAGCTGACTTCTCCAGGTTAAGTGTCTAACTTGCTTCTTCACATTATCACCAGTACTTAAAACTTACCGCCTTGACACAGATCAACAAAAACCTATTGATGCATGACCACTACTCACCCACTGAGGCCGCCAATACAGCTCCCATGGATGCAGGGATTGCTCAGGCACTCGTTCACCTGCGAGTAGCAGCTGGGGTGATGGGGACCTTCAGGGCATATGCAGCGGAAACCGTTCACATCGTTGATGCACGTTGCACCCTTGCGGCAGGGATTGGAGGCACATTCATCAATGTCCACGTTACATCTTTGCCCTATAGAGAAGGAGGCAGTGTTATGCAAACCCCAAAAGCACAAAGAGCAGACCTGAACTATGAGACATAGTTTTTATCTGCACTAGATATAAGGTGCACTAGGGTGCCAAATGTCAGGATTTCAAAAAGAAAACACTCAAAAGTACATCATTCCATACAAAGAAGGTACTAAGCGAATTAGCAAGCAAAGTTAACAAAACACTGAGACAGTTATAGCATTTTGAAGTACAGATCATTCTCTTTCCAAATTAAGAATGGGGAAACTTCAAAATACACTGAAGGAATGACAAATGTCATCAATGTCTTAATAACACCGTTTGTATATTCAAAAAAGCTTTCATAGCATACTTTCTGTCAGTTTGCCATAGGTTCTTCAATTAGCCACCCTCTTACATTTCTATCTGTAGTAAATCACAATTAACTGGAATGCTTACTCAACAGATTAACTTAGGTTAATGATTAAACTGACCACAAGAAAAGCTATTCTGTTTTCATTCTTGTAGTTTCATTAATCTATTTTCTGTCTTATGAAGCAGTCTCAAAGCATAATTTTTATTGTTCCCTGGTAACTGAGAAAACAATTCAGTATCATCCAGGGTCTCTCAAACTGTAATACGTGAAATACTCACCTAACCTACTTCTAGATGAGATTCTTAGGGTCTACTGCCACAGATTGTGACGCAGGCCTTTCAAACATTAGATTTAGAGAAATTCTGCCTCCAGTAGTTATACTTAATGTACTATGATGGTAAAGACGATGAAGTATGTGAAAAAAGTAAGTTCTCACTCCACAACACACCCCAGACTGAAGTATGAAAGGATGGCCGCCATAGCCTTGCTTTTCACTGCACTGGGCTGAATCAACTAACATGTCAGTTTTACAAGTGTTCTGATAATAATTGAGACTGGGGCTGGGGCTTCAGCTCAGTGGCACAAGTGCCTGCCTGGCTAGTGTAAGGTCATGAGTTGGATCCCTGCTACAAACAACAACAACAAAAAAATAATAATGATTTTTAAAAATGATAATAATTGAGACTGAACTACATTTTCTGAAATAATGTGAAACTTTTAAATTTCTCATAATTATGTAAATGAATAAAATCAAGCAACTGCTATGACACATAAATTTTAGACTACAATGTTTCTCATTCAAAACTTTTTATAAAATGCACTTTGTTTAAATTTAAGAAAGAGCAAGCCTGCATTTAGAACAGGAAATTCCAAATGAAACAGATACACACCCTTTAAAGTATGGGTATTAACATTTTTTCACCCTCCACTGCTCTCCAAACCATTATTGGTGGTTCTTGTGGTAAAGACTCATAATCTGGAAGTGGTTATTCCTTTCCTCTAAATGTTTTATCAAGAACTCATTTAAAAATACTTTTTTCCTTGACCTTAACCACTAGTTCTTTGAGATGTTTGCCACTGGCACCAAAATGTGACCCAGAGTGCTTCAACTACAGAGCTTCCTGGGTCTGCAATGCACTAAAAGATGACAGTAAACAGCCTTGTTCAATGCTGGCCTTTTTAAGAAAGCATCTCCAGAGATGCCACTTCTCCCAAGTTTTTTTCACATGCTGTTTTGTATGCTTGTTTGTGGCTTGATGTTTGAAAGATGGAGTCTTTCTACGTTGCCCACAATGATCTGGAATCCCTAGGCTCAAGTGATCCTGCTGTTTCAGTCTCCCAGTATGTATGTATGTATGTATGTATGTATGTATGTATACGCATGTAGTATGCTGGGTATAAAATGTGGAGCCTCACACATGCTAGGCAAATGCTCTGCCTCTAACCCTCTGACTACCCCTGCAGCCCTTCATTTGCTCTGAAATCTTTCCTACAATAAATATGCAAGCCATTTTTATGTGGCAGTATTAAGAACTTCCTTGCCCTGCTGTGTATACTGGTAGCTGCTCCAAAAGCCAGGTTCTGCTCTCTCCATGTCTACCCAGCATCAGAAATAGTTCAACCATGTTCCATGTAGGGTTTAGGAACTACTGAATTGAGCAGTTATTTCATGTTTTTCACTCAGTAGATACTAGAATTAGTAGAATTTGTATTCAATAAATAACACAGTCCATACTAGATTCTGGACTGCATAGAAAGAAGGCGGCATATGAGTCATACTCATCCATTCAGCAGTATTTCTGAGCGCTAGATACTGCTAACAGGATGATTAAGGGAGGTCTTTGCCTCCTGGAAATTCACAGTGCTCTCTGATTTGCTAGCTTACAACACAAGCATAGCAAGTTTCATATCTCAGTCGCTTTCTTTGTTAACAGTGCAGCAGAGCTTCCTTTTTGGACTATTAAGAGAATTTAGGAAGATGATGGATACAAAGGTGCTTTACAAAACAGAAAAGAAGAGGCATTAAAATAAAGGGAATAAAATACCTCAGAGTTTATCTTAGATATTTTCAGCAGCTGATTTAAAAAAAAAAAAAGCAAGGAAAACAGTCTCAAAGCAAAGAAAACAGTTCCAAACAGGGTGCCAGCCAGTAACCAAAACATTCCATTTCTTGATTATGTAATTTCACAGTACACCTTAAGTTTATTTTAGAATATTTTTATATTCTTCTTGACCTTGCTGAGTTCCCGAATTAAAAAGAAAAATAGTATGATTCACTGACATTTCAAAAATAAGTAATTCCAGTAGAAGGCCTTACATGAATCCAAAGAGAAGCCACCAGTGAGACTGTGCAATGCGGAAGGAATGGGCCCTGGCTCTGGTTCAGACCACCAGGAGGACAGTCCTACTGCAAAGCACTGCAGTATCACTTCACCTCTCCGAACTGTGGATTTCTCATCAATACACAGGAATGACTTAAGTCATTCCTGCTATGCTTAATTAAGTGAGACAGGGCACTTAGTTTAGTGTCTATCTCAAAGTAAGTCCTTCATACATATTAGGTATTCTTTCTACATTACCCATTTAGCAACAACACCTGACAATTCTATGTAGCAGAGACTTTTGTGCATTTAACTGGTGCCACCTGATCTTAAAGCAACAGCTTTCAGGACATGCAGTTCCATCAGGCTACATCACTAGTGTGGGGCCTGGGCAGGAAAGCTTTCACTATCGCTGGATTTTTGAAAATCTTCAATGAATGGGAATCACTGAGACCTACTAGACACTAATTACTTTACAGTCACACTAAGCTGTTGAAATGCTTGGGAAACAGACATCAAAATTCCCAGCAATCAAATGGAAGACATTCTCCTCACTTGGTTCTGGTCTCTCTTTGATAGATTCTGACGAAAGCTCTCAAAAAAGTTTCTCATCCGGGGAACAAACGACCACATGAGAACTATGAAAGGGTACTACTGCATCAGTGCCTGCTGCTGTCCAGAAAGAACAAAATACACAGTGTAGTCCTCTGATGATATCAATCACAGACTTTGGTGTAAAGATCAGGACTCCTCAGGAGCTTCCAGAATGCTCTGATCAGAAAGGCAAAGATGAAGGTAATATTAACAAGGAAAAAAAGAGGAAGGGATGTGTAGTACGCATGTGCACAAATGCCATCTTCTATTGTTTACAATAGGAAGAGTTATATGCAAAACTATTTTAGCCATTTACTTTCTTCTTTCTGGGAAGAGAGATCTCATCTTGCTAGGCAAATTAGGAAGGTCCCCTCAGATAATGACCTCATCCTTTCGTGAATACGAAGGACCCTGAGATAAGCAGTTGTTTTCATCTAAGTTTATCTTGCTGATGGCTTTACAGAACGCACTGACTACTGCTTATAGGAAAACATAGGTGGCTTTGGTGGCAATTTATATTCAAGATCTCTAATCCTGCAAAGAAGGAAAAAAAGAAGTACTTTATGTGCACTTTCCATTTCCTCACATGAAATGGTTGAGACAGACTCTAAGTTGGAGATTTAATAAAGATATAAAGTTAATCATTTTAACCTCTTTATGAAATGCTTCTTAATGCTTCTTCAATAGCAATGAACTTTATAGTTTGCTGGGAATTAAGTCTCAGGTAGCAGGAAACATGTGGTCTGAAAAGTGGTATGTTTCCATTTAGAAAACAGTTAATGGGGCAGGGGGCTTAGCTCAGCGGCATAAGCACCTGCCTTGCAAGCAGGCGGTCGTGAGTTCGATCCCCAGTACCGGTAAAAAAAAAAAAAAAAAAAAACCCTTAAAAGTCACACAGTGATTCAGAGAAGCACAGAAGTAGATTATACACCTGCCAGAGAGACCAAGAAACAGGAGACATTTGAAGGTAATTTCCTCTTAGTGTCATTTTCCCAAAATGGTAGGGCTGAAGGAGAGGCCCCAGTACATGCAACACACCTGTGAATCCTGGTGAGCAGACACAACTGTAACGACTGATGCCATCCACACACGTGCCATTGACACAAGGGCTGCTAGCACAGTCATCAAAATTAATTTCACAGTTAACTCCTGCAAAGAAAGAACCAAAGAGAAATCACTCCATGTTATCAAACAAGTATCACAGCTTCTGCTTCTGATACCATGCAACAAGAAGCTTAAAGACAGTTTGGGGCAGCCTTAAACAGAACAAAGCAACACTTGTCAAACAGTACAATTCACAGTTTGCGGGGATTGTTCATACTTCGCCATTTGCCTTTTCACTCTTTAAAATTCATACTGATAGTGCAAAGGCAATGCCGGTGAAAATGATGGTATCTCGGCAGGAATCCAGGCAGCAGCACCAAGCTGTGCTAGCAGTCACTACCTCCTCGCACCCTCATGGCCACAGTTAAACAAACCCAAGTGCCAATTTCACCTAAGAATGGCTTTCATGAAGAAGTTAAAATCATTAACTTTACAACTTTATCAAATCTCAACCTAAAATGTACCCCTAACATTTCATGTGAGGATATGGGAAGTACACATAAAGTACTTCGTTTCTTCCTTCTTTGCAGTACTAGAGAACTTGAGCTTGCACCCAGGAGCACCAAACATCCTGGGCCCTATCTGATCTTGGTCTCCCAGAAAGGTAAAAATCTTATGAGATACTGGTTAAAAATTTTTTAAAAAGAACGAAAAGAAAAGAGAAGGAACAACCAACAACAGATTTGTAGCCTGAACGTAATAAAAAGAGAAAAGAAGGCTTGCTGCCACCTGCCTGATCTGCGATGGACTGTTTCTCTCGTAGGAGGCCTCTCAGCTTTGGTGCCCTGCCTTGGGGTCAGCTGACAGTGAACTGAAACATGTACAGTTGTAAGCTAAAACAAATTTTCTCTCTCTAACTGGTGTCATGTATTTTGTCCCAGCAACAAGAAAGTAACTGTGAATAGTCATTATGTGTAGTTTTCCTAACTTTTCTCTGTTCCTCTCAGCCAAGTGAGAATCCAGCAGTGTTATCCCTACTTTAAAGATGTCATAGCACTAGTAAGGGCAAGCTAAGCTGGGACCTAAGCACCCTCCTCTGGTACCACAACTCTTATGCTTTCCGGCATGCCATGCTTTCTTGCAGGGCTAAGGAGGCTGTGCTTCCTCATTAGCCATAAGTGAAAACTCAGTCTCAATATTCCAGCATGTGCCCTTAAGAGTTACTCCAGCCCTTGACTGACAACGCTCTTTCTCTCAATTCCTAAAGGCAGCTGATGAAGCCCTGGTAACATAAAGTGGCTCTCGCCCAGTGGCCAGTGCCCACTAAAGAGGAAGCTAACGTCTGGGTTAAGTCCAGATAATGAACTCCCATATGAAAATTTGACCTATGTGACCTGGGGTCCACAAATTGCCCACTTTGTGCTGTTTTCTATGCATTCTGATTCTATTCTTGTTAAGAATCTATGAGACTTCTGTGTTCCTTCACCAAACTTTTATTTAATTCATATATGATAAGCATTTTTCTCACTATTTTGTTATTTACTTGTTTATTAATGAGTTTTTTCACCTATACCAAGCTGGCTTTCATTACATGAAATTCAAAAATACTAATTACTCGTACAGTAACATCAAAAAAATCACAGATAAGAGAAGGCAACTGAAAGTGACTCTGAATAGTTTATCTAAATTTAATTACTGAGGGAGTGAATATCACAACTAAATCCAGCAAGCTGCAACGTGGCTCTCCTCTCCATACCCTCACACAAACACCAACTACTAAAATAGATCATATTATAACTGGGCAAGGACTCATGCTCTGTGACAGTCTCTTCATAATGCTTCATCTAATGACTTTCCACCCAGGTCCTAGCACATAAATAAAAGTTCTTTCTCCACCCAGGACAGAGCAATAATTATTTACATTGCTGTAGCTCTTTGCCTGAATCCTTCCAAGAGGTGCAGGAATGGATTTGGCAGGGTTCTGAGACATCCTGGGCCTTTATCGCCACACTGACAGCCACAGAAAACTTACTTCTTGCCTTTCTCAGTGACAGCTACTTGCAGCGTGGACTCTCTGTCCTCCCCAGAAACCACACCTGATAGGTCCTCACGTAATGATACAATCCCAGAGGAAACAAAGTGCTCACCAGCCCACCATGCACTCCACTTTCCAACAAGTGTGTACCGATGCAAACAATGACAGAGCCAAAAACAGTCCCTCTGTTCTAAAGGTGTCCACTCACTGCATGTAAGTCACTCAGATTTTTTCCCCTTTGCAATTTCTCATGTCTGGGGACCAGCCCAGAAGCAAATTGCTTTTGGAAGCTTCACAAAGATCTATTCAGCCCTTTGAGGGAGTTATCTCAATGTGGGGAGGGGCAAGGCATTCTCAACTGTAAAGGCATGGGATGTTTTTCGTATGCTTGAGCAATTCAAAAAGGACTTTGTTTTTAAACTTGGCATTGTAAGGCCCTGGATGAAGTCCAGAGCCTTTGACAAGTTTGAAAAAATGGATTTGCAAATAACACAAAAAAACGAGGGCAACTACCTACCTCCCTACCTCTACCCCATACATAGCCACTTTCCTGAAGTGCGGGATGAACTTCTCACTCAATCATCCCTGATAGTGGCAGGTTCCTTTCCAGCAAAGATACACTTCAGTTAAGCTTCCACTAATACATTTGCCTTTGTTCTGGTGCTGAGAACTTCTCTGACCATTAGCCACTACTGTGACCACAATCACTCTTCAAATATAAAAACAGAATCCAGTGAAACCAAAAAAACCCTGCTGCCTGCAAAAACAGCTCCGAGTCTCCTCAGAAGGAGCAGCAGGCTGACACACCTAACAGGTGCCCTCCAGCAGGGTGAGGAAACACAATGGAACTGTGGGGACAAGGGATGAGATCCCCGTATCCCAGTTCACAGTCACCATGATATGCAGCAGGCTGTCTCCTCTCCCTAAAATCCCCCAAGTGCAAGAGGCACCATGACACAGTGAAGAGGAGAAAGGAAAATACAGGAAAGAAGGGACAGGGACAGGGACAGGGACAGGGACAGCGAGAGAGAGAGAGAGAGAGAGAGAGAGAGAGAGAGAGAGAGAGAGGGAGGAAGGGAGGGAGGGAGAGAAGGAAAGAGGGAGAGAAGAAATGAAGGCAGGGAGAAAAAATACAATAATATAAGTGGGAGTGGCTTAAAGAAAAAAGAACATCCATCAAGCTACAAAGCAAGAGAGCTTTCAAATTTGAAAACAACTTCATATGTTGAAATGATATGCCTGGTTTAATTAAAAACACAGAGACATAAAATCATTGCACAGGCAGAGTTCTGGTCTCCAACTTCTCCACTGAACAGTCAGCTGCTTTGGAGATATTTATGGCTTTGGTTGTGCTTCTCAGAGAAGCCTGTGTTTTCGGGTTCTAAGCAAATGTCTAGAAAACTGCAGATGGCTGTGTGGCTGAGAATCAGTGAGGCTGACCACGCGCAGCCACCTGTGCCTACCTGATGTGCCCGGCTGGCAGTTACACTGGTAGCCATTTACAAGGTCAATGCAGCGCCCCTCGTTCAGGCACGGACTGCTGTAACACTCATCAATCTGGTCACTACAGATGGCACCCATGTACCCAGGGTTGCAGATGCACGTGTAGGAATCGATTCCGTCCTGGCACTGACCGTGGTGGCAGGGATCAGGGTCACAGTTGTCGATGTTCTCCTCACACAACAGACCAGTGAAACCTGGGGGAGGATTTGTCAGAGAAATCTTGAACCAAGCTAGAATATGCACACTTCAATCCAAAGGCAGTTCATTCATGTACCCTACAGGGAATAATCAGAATTGCCAGTGTTAGGCAGTGAGCTTGATTTAGAAGGCCAGCCTGGAGACCTGTGCTCTGAATGAAGAGTCCCAAATAAAGCTGTAGAAGTCAAACACCTTTGTGATCAATGATTGATTTCCCTTTAAAGATGCTTTAGTGTCAGCTGCTCCTTACTGATCATCAGGGCAAATCTTCTGAACATCTCCCGTTATGTGCTTATGCCTGAATCCTGTCCTCCCAAACCCAACCCACAGGTACAAATTCATTATTGTGCATCTCTTCTGCCCAAGTCTGGCTTTGGGGAACACAGAATATTTCTTCATTCCTGTCAATCCCTCCAAGAGTGCTGCACACACATACTAGGTTTTTAATAAATACTTGTTGAATTCAACGAGGGAACCAGGTATAAACATGTAAATTAGAAGGAACGTGCAAGTGTTCCTTTGGTTCCCTCATTCATATTCCACCTCTACTAAAAGGCGCCACAGGGCTCTCACTGGGCTTACACACGAATTTGAGGGCTTTGGTCTCACCAGGTGAAGAGTTTGGCTGGGAAGGCAAAGCCTGTATCTTCTCCCAAAAATGCAACAGTGTGGAAAAGAAATGCCACATCAAGGTCTCACTGTAGATGATCTTCCTAAATAGGCAACAACAACTTTCTGAATGATTTGGGGAAGTAAGCTTCGTTTTCTAAACAAATAGAAATCATAGGGGCAATGCCTATAATTCTTTAAGAACCCACTCTTCAAAATAACATAAAGTCTTGAAATATATTCCTAACTTCTTTCTCCAGCAGCCATATAATAAAGAACAGTACATGTTCCAATGATGTCTAGGCTTTCTCTATATTACTGACCTACACAGAAGTAACAGGGGTATATGGTTGAATGAAACCAACTCCCGAGAGAGAAATGTGCCCAGATACCGAGTCATGTAGAAGAACATGTGTGAACAGATCCTTTTGGATGGTAGAAGCAAAAGTCAGCGAACAGCCGCAAGCTTTCCCAGCAACAGCTCTCTCCTGTCAGTTACACACCTGATCCCGAGGAAATCACCTCCAGGACAGAGAAAGCCACTGCACAAGCACACACTCAGTCCTTACACTGTTTCCCAGTCTCTGCCTCAGGAGACAGACAGACCCCTGCAGAAAGCCCAGAGACCAGCAGCTCTCCACAGGAATCCTTCTCTTTCTCCAAGGAGTCAGTCAAGCCAGCCAGAAGCCCCCTGCTTACCCACGTTGATCCAGAACAACATGGGCACCAATGGGAGGTCCTCTGCAGAGGAGGCAGGTGCAGGAGGAGCAACCGTGGGAACAGAGAAAGCAGTCAGCAATTCTCCTCACACAGGACAGCGCTTGGCTGTGAGGGACAGCACAGCCTCTGTGTTCTCCAACACAACAGCTGGCAGAAGCAAGTCACTCTGCTGTGCAAAGAAAGGGAGCGAGCGGGTGCTTACCTGTAGCACACTGGCATTCGTAGCCATTTGGGTGATCGATACACTTGGCCCCATTCAGACAGGGAGTACTGGAACAGTCATCGATGTCAATCTGGCAGACTGGCCCCGTGAAACCTTGAAAAGGCACAGTGGTGATATAAGTCAAAGACTGGCCTGTGTCCTCTTTTACTGACAGTATGATGCCCCTGGCGGGTGTGTGAGGCTCCCAGCAGGGCGTATGTCAGGGGACACCAAACAGAATAGCTGTCCCCAGTGGGCAACTTGAACATTTTGGAGAGGCTACGATCAGAGGCTCTTGTGTCTCCACTGCTGCTTTAACTTAAGGGGAAAAACTGACAAGATGTATCAGGCAGAGCTCCCACACAAGAGATTGTGTCTCAGAGACAAAGAGGCCTTCTCTCTGATAATAAAGTGGAGAGTTCTGTGTAAGGGAGACATTTGGCATGCCTCCAACAGGAGCATTGAAAGAAAAGTGACAGAAGATGTTGGGGAAAAATCTTGGTGTTGTCTGTCTGGTGTCATGGGTTAAAATATGTAAAACTAATAATGTCACAAAGCAGCTTTGAGAACACACCACGTGGGGAAAATCAGATCTGAAGTAGCCTGGACCTGGGGCCCCTGTGAGTGTGAGTACTCTGCATATAGCCACATGGTCATGGCCATTCAAGAAAGACGTGGACCTCTGGCCACAACCGACTTGAAGACATCCAGCAAAAACAATTGTACACACACCTTCATCAGGTGCTCCCTTTAATGATTTCCTCACACAGCCCCACACGTTCCCTCCCTGTGGTCAGTTGGCTCTGTGTTTTATAGGCAAACGGGGCAGGTGATGGGCACTTACCAGGGGGACAAAGACACTGGAAGCGATTGACTTTGTCCACACACTGCCCATTGTTCACACAGGGGTTGCTCTGGCATTCATTTATCTCTATTTCACAATGCACACCTTTGAAACCTGCACAAAATGGACCACACATGGCTCAGAAACACAGCAAGGCATATTTCAAAATAAAGGAAAAATGTGTAGAGAAGGCCACAACTTCTATGAACATAAAAGTTTCTGCCAAGAGAAAGGGACTTTGCCACGATGGGGAACAGTCCCTAAATCTAGGAGAATGGATATTGTGACAGAGTCTTATCATCGTCAAAGACACTGGTGAGACTCAGCCTACAAAGATGCTACTACCTTTCCAAGAGACCAACCCATACTTTCTGGACAGTGCCAGCCCCAATGGATCCCCACCTTACCCTAAGGACCAACTGACCTGAAGCTTACACTGCTCACAGGGTGTAGTTCAAAGGAGAGCCCTATAAGACCAGAGTGGCTGGAATCTATCACCAGGCACAGCTGCCCTTAGCTGTCCCTTCAAGCTAGACTTGACTACGTCCTTGCCAAGTAAGAATGGTCTCTGCAGAACATTATTAGGCTTGTGCCTCACTCCACATAAATGGAAGTTCCTATATAATTGTGAATCAAATCCCTTTCTGTAAAAATTTATAATATACCAAACCTGCTATTTGAGATTCTTAGGGTAAACTGCTTCTGAAATTTTCTATCGTATGCACATGGTTTCTGATATAATCAGTTTATTTAATTGGCTGCAGGGGTTCCAGCACTGCAGGACTTACAAAGCTCCCCTCTGTAAATGAGGAGTTTGCCCAGGAGCCCCTGTTCCTGTGGTGCAGAGTCAGCAGAGGGAATTGAAAGCATCCCCCTGCATGGAACTGCGGTGGTTCCCGAGACTCCCCTAGGACAGTTCAGGGCAGTCCTCCTCTCATTTCAGCTCTATGGGCCCACTCACCTGGCATGCACAGGCAGGTGAAGCCACCTATCTTATCCAGGCAGGTGGCATCATTCTGGCAGGGGTCTGAGTGACATTCGTTGATGTCCATCTCGCAGCGAGGCCCTGCATAGCCCTTCAGACACTCGCAGTGGAAGGCGCCATCTGTGTTCACACACTTCCCTGCATGCTCACAGGGATTGCTGTTGGCTGTGAGACACAAGCACTTGTTACTGAGATCCCAGTACCTGACAGTTTCCACGAATGCGAACTTCAGGGCAGACTCTGCTGGCTACAGCACCAGGGCCTGGCCAACCTCTCAATTTTGCCTTTTCTTCCTTCATTTGAAGAAAGAAATAAGACAATGATAACCTCCACTCGTGTGCCTTTCTACTCTTTTGTCTAAATGTCGCGGAGTTAGGACTTTATATTAAGAGTCAAAAGTAGTTCTTCCTTCCATGTATTTAATTCCCAGAGTGGAGGCTGTGGTTATGCTTACAAAGTTATCTATCAGGAAGCAGCGGGAATGATCAGGAGAAGCTGACGTCTGGGCATAGAATGTTCCGGGAGTAGACTGCATGCCTATCGAAACTCCCAGAGAGCTGATACATACTCTAAGGGAGGGAACGATCACTACACTCACTCATAGCACATTCATCCACGTCTTCTGTACAGTCTGCTCCTTTGTAGCCCTGTGGGCAGGTACAAATGTAGTGTCCATTCAGAGGGTTGGTGTCACATAGTGCCCCCTTGTGGCAAGGATTGCTGATGCAGGCGTCATCCAGATGACATAAGAGACCTGTCAAAGGGTGGGGAGAGGCAAAAGGAAGGTAAAATAGGTCTCTCACTTGAAGAGTTTTCCCTTTCACCAAGGAGGGAAAAGTTTATGAGCAGTTACTTAAAATCCAACACTAACATTCAGAGTCAATTTCCCCTTTGCTTGACACATCTCAGAGACACACAGAAGGCATCAAAACAATTTGGTACTCCAGAGAACCCTCAGCTGTACCTCTTCACTGGATGGACACACGGGACACAACACAAAACCAGCAGGAAGACTTGGGAAAACTGACAATCCTCTGTAGGGTGTGCTAGATTTAGCAAATAAAAGTAGACAATACCCAGTTAAATCCAAATTTTGGGAAAAGAAGGAATGTTTGCTTTAGAGTGTCTGAAATATTCTAAGGCCCCTGTATTTTATCTGGAATCTTCCTTTCCCAGTGTCACACTACCTGTTGACACTGGGCCCACCAACAGTTTTCTAGCTCAGAATAAAACAGCAATGGAATGAGCATCATCAGTGTCCTCTGGAACAGCCCTTGAGAAGCACAAACATTACAGCCTCAGGTGCCTCCACAGACACTGTAGGTCTTCCAGTTATTCAGAGTTTCAGTGTGAACTGCATTTTCCACTCAGCAATTCACTGAGGCTTCTGCCATAAAACCAGAGGTGTGAGTTTTGGAAGGGGAAAATTATATAAACATTTCAAAACTTCCAGGCAAAAAGTTCTTTCAGTTAAACTTATTCTACCGTCACATTTGTCTTCACCCTGCACTTCTACTCCTAAAACCAGAAGTTATTAAGCTGAGAGGCTACAGTACAGCCTCACAGTAAAATGAAAAAACCTTCTGTTAGAGGAGTATTTCCATAGATACTGAGAGCTGAGGTATACTTAAATGCTTCTCCTGCCAACTCCTAAGTAAATGGATTATTCCTTTTCAAAATGAAGTCTGTGAATACATTTACTGGCCCTCTAGTCTAAATTCTTTTTTTTTTCTCTGAGGTCTTAAAGAGTTCTGCAGAGCTCCAAAGACCATAGTTATTAGTTTTTAGTTTCTGGAATGAAAACCTAGGAATACACAGAGCTGAGGTGAAAATTAAAAGTTTGATGGAAGGACACTACCTCCATAGCCCTCTGACCAGCAGATTTTTTTATTTCCAAAAGAAGGGTTCTGAGGGCTACCTCTGCAGATGGACATTCACAGTACACAGCTGCCACACCAAAGAGAAGGCAGGAGCCAGTGTGTTCCATCTCCCCCTTCCCTGGTTCCCAGCTCCCCCTGCTGCTGGGCTCACCTGCCTTCCCCTCAGGACACATGCAGGAGAAGGACGCCACACGGTCAATGCAGGTGGAGCCCGGGGTGCAGGACGCAAAGGCACAGTCGTCGATGTTTTCACTGCAGTCGTCTCCGCTCCAGCCATTCACACACACGCAACCATAGCCCCCATTGCGGTTGGTGCAGGTGCCTCCGTTCTGACAGGCATTGGGCTGCAGCAGGCACTCATCCACGTCCTCGGTACAGAATTGTCCTTTTGGAAGAAAGAACCTCTGATGAAGGATGTTAGGTCTCGAAGCATTTGTATCATGTCAGCTCCTGTGCAATCTTCACCATAACATGACCTGCTCACAGCAGCCCAGGCCTTCTTGTGAATTTTAAGGCCACCTTCAACCATCCAGATGACACTTGTTCCAAGCAAGCTATTTCTAGAAGAATACAAACTGCTATCCCTAGGAACTCTGACATGACAATTTAGCCTGCCAACCAATCAGATCTTTTACCCATTTAAACCCTGGGGACAAGGAATATGTGAGAAGAATGAGGAGAAATGGTCTAAGATACAAGTAAGGAAAAGAACAATGAAAAAGAAACCATATATCAAAATACTAGAGCGACTGTTCCAAATCTGGGTTGCATCAATGTCAATGTCCTGGTTGTGATACTATACAGCAGCTTTGCAAAATAATACTACTTTTGGGAAATACACTGCACAGGGCACTGAGTATTTCTCATTAATTCTTACAACCATGTATGGAACTATAATTATCTCAAAGACTACAGTTTTTAAAAATGTTAGGGCAAGCAAGGAAATCTTTGAGGAGATGAAGAATAATGAAAATCCCTGGTAAGCTGTAGATATAAAAGGCAAGGTCAAGAAGAGTGAGACTGGAACAAAACCTGCTACGCATGAGCTACAAAGTCCATCTACGGTACAGGGAAGTGGGAAAAGGACCAGCGTGCTCTACGTGAAAAACAGTGTGTGACGATAACCATCAGACTACAGATGTGACATGGGCCATTACTGTAACTGGCTAAAGCCAGTTAGTAAGGGAAAAGACTGTGTCTTATATGCCTTACAACCAAAGACTTTGTGATTAACAAAAGCAGTTTAGTGCCAAGGCCCTTTCAGCTGTAAAACAAACTAATGAATTGATCTTGGTTGGAGATTCTCACATCCATTTTGCCCTAAAACATGACAACCTACTGTATCTCAAAAAATTTCATGGTCTCCTTCATCCTTCCTTTGTTTAAAACAATACACAGCTGGGCATGGTGACTCCACCTGTAATTCCCGCATTTAGGAAGCTATGGCAAGATCACCAGGAGTTCAAGGCAGGCCTGTGCTACACAATGAGCTCAAGGCCAGCCTGAACTAGTAAGACCCCATTTCAAAATAAAACAACACTCAATAATTAATTCAAAACAGCAGTCTGATGAAGAATGAAAAAGCATATAATAGCATATAATATCTATAGCTAGATATCAGGCTATTCCTGTAGTCCCAGGACATCTCACAAGTCAATTGACTGTGAATCTGAAAAGGCCTAAGCATGTCAAACCATGGACCTATCACTACTGATAGAGGCTAGCTGTGTCCACCTAACCTAACTGAGTATCTATTCTTTACTCCTATTCAACCTGTACCTCCACTACTACATAACCAACATCACTCAGTCATATCTATTTGGCTGAACATCTATTCCCCACTATTTGGATGCAAGCAACCTCAGTTTAGGGACCTTGTTTTATGTCTCTAGGAAAGTCCAGCTCCCAGCATGACAGGATGGGCCTGGGAGGTCTCTGAACCTCTGTGTTAAGTCATCACCCTCCCCTGTTCCTCTCCATACTCTAACCATACCGTGCTTGAAGGAATTACCATGTTCTTATTTATCCATACCTTCTCAGCCATAGCTGACTGATTCAGGATGGGCACCAAATCCAAGACATCACTGTCTCTTTCCCAAATTACTGTACTCAGAACACTGTCACAGGACCAAAAGGATGAGACAGCTTACTTGTAAAGAAAGTGATATGGAGAGAAATCCGAAGGGTGCGGAGAGAAAAATAAAGTCATGGTGACAATAAATTGTTCCTTGTTGTTCCTAAAGCCCAGTTGCCTCTGAGCTCACTTTGTGGCACAGTTGTTCTAAGAGATGTCATTGCGAAAGGTTTTCATAATTTGAGAGGAGGTTCTGCCAGCTGCAATTCAAAGTACTAACACGGAGTGGACGAGGGAGGCAAAAGGAGAGTGAATGAGTGAGGGAAGGAATTAGAGGGCAAAGCGGGGAAGGACTGAAGGAGTGAGAGGGGGAGAGAGTAAATGAATGAATGAGGTAAAAAGGGAGAGAAAAGGAAGGGAGTGAAGGAGAGAGGGGGAGCAGATGGAGGGAAGAAGGGTATGAACTCAACAGCGGTCATCTCCCCCAGGGCAGATGATGTCATTTATTATAGAAAGCTTTGCTCTTCTAGCAAAATGCTACTTCAAAGTAGTGACAGCTGTGTTATTAGGATACAGATGGGATTGAGAAATAAACATGATCAACAAGTGGGTGAAGAGCTGTTGTAACCCAGAAATTGTTGAGTCTCGTCAACTATATGTACTTATACTAACTTAAATATCTGTGCTGCCTCTGAAACATACAGGTTTACAGAATGAGACTGAGAGTTAGCTGTTATTTTTCTTTACTGAGGTTCTATGATAATCAGAGTACAAGGCACTATATCTTTAAAAGTATTTCACATCCATTTTTTTATGTATTATAATACCCAAAGAAATAATACTGTAAAATAAACTAATTAAATAAGTAAGTAGGCCTACCATGAAACAGCATTTTACGTGGGGCTGGCTCGTGCTCTCTCTCTCTCTCTCTCTCTCTCTCTCTCTCTCTCTCTCTCTCTCACACACACACACACACACACACACACACACACACACACCCTCGTCTGTAGCTCCAGAAACAGGATCAGAGCTGCAGATTAACTTGCCCTGTGAGGCAGTAAGTGCTGGATTTCCTTATGCAAAAATTCTGAACAAAGACCTGCGATGTGAACCTGACCATACCAAGCTACTTCTGCATGTCCTTTGTTTCCCCGAGTGCACATAGGTATGGGAAAGGGAAGAGGATGGAGGAGGTGGAGACCAAAATCAGGACTCACATGATCGGATTACTAGAAAAATTAAAACTGCGAACTACCATCCAAAATGAAAATATACTTTTGGGTTATGGTTCACTGTTCTTACATGAGACTGGTTTGTGAAGAACTGTGTATGTTAGACACTATGAATTAAGGACACCAAACCTCAAGATCTAAAAATATACTGTCTACAGGATGCATCACTTATTTCTTCAGGTTCAAAGACACTTCTCCCAGTCTCATTTTTGCCAGATTTTTTCCTCCTTATTACAAATCTATCAACCAATTCTAAAATTTAGAATGCTGCAAATAATAATCAGAGTGGCTACAATTTTGCTCCAAAGAGAATGTGTAAGATACATGCTTTCATGTCCCTGCTCCGTTAGCAGAGAAACAATGTAAACACTTAACATTAAAAAAAAAAAACAAGGGTCAGGGCCTGAGATACAGCTCAGTGGCATAAGAGCCTGCCTGGCAAGCGCAAGGTCATCAGTTTGATTCCTGGGACCAAAAAAAAAAAAAAAAAAAAAAAAATCAAGCATCATAGGAGATGTGGCCCAGATATAAGGTGCTTGCCTCTAGCATGCATAAGGCTCTGCAGTCGAGCTCCTGTACTGCAGAAACAAAGCACATTCAGTTATGTTTAAAAAGGAGGGAAAAAAAGGAAAGGAAGAAAAAACAAGAAAGAAGAAGGAAAGGTGGCAGAGGGAAAAATGAAGAGAAGGAGAGGAAAGGAAGGGGGAAAATAAAAGCTCAGAAAGGGAAATCATCTTCCCAAGTTCAGAGTCAGTGAGTGGGAATGCGGTTATTTAAACCCAGATCAATCTGACTGATGCAGTCTTCCTCTACATCTGATGTCTTTTTATGCAGCACTGCTGATTATACAACCCTGGCTTTGCTCAAGATTTACAGACTATGTCCCTAATCCTAGGCATGTATGGTACACCAAGATGGTGCATAAGATAAAGAACACTATATAAAGTAGTAATGACAGAGGACTACAAGATATCAGAACAGGAAATTTTCTTCATGATTCCATGGGGGAATTAGTTGCACATTTGACTTTTTGGCTTTTCCCACCACTGCATGTCAAGAAAACAGAAGGCTAGACTGCAGGAAAGAGGCCCACTACAGAATGAAGTTATGATTAGGTCTACATGGAAGATAACAAAATGTGCAGTGTATTCCTTGGCCAGGATTTTAAAGAAAAGGTTGAAGGTAGTCTAAGAATTTGAATTTGAATTTGAATATGAATCCTGAACTTGACTTAACATGCAAATGAGACTGGGGGAAGACATGGTCAATACCGTGTTTGAAGACTAAACAGACAATAAAATACAGGAGGGAGGACATGCAGATGAGTTTCTGCCTGCAAGGAGAGGAGGACCAAGCATTAAGTTATGAGCTACCTAGCAAATAAAAGCATTTGGCTAAAAGGGACAGCTGTTTTGTTTCCATACCCCACCACAGGACTAAATCTTCAATCCAGACAAGTCTCAGCATGCATCATCATCATCTGTGTCAACACAACTGTGCTGGTAAACTCCCAAAGCAGGTTGCACAATGCTTGATTAGGCAAGTTTTGGGGGTAATAATTACCCCACTTAGTAATTTCTTCCTGTAGCCAATATAGGTTACTGCTGACTAACATTGGGGCCATGGCAGTTGGCTATGGGGGCCTTCACAAGGCCATTTCCTATGGGCAAGAGAGATAAGAATGACTTCTTTTTAAAAATTCCCCTCTCCAGTGCCACTAGGATTCTAGACTAATCTCGTAGGAAAGGTCATACTCCCCAATCCTTGGCTGACAGTTTAAACACTAAGAATCACCTGTAGCTACAATCTTCTTGCTAATCAGATTTGCCTTGTAAATATACTCAAATCCTACCTCTTCTTTATACATCTTTCTCTAGTCACAATCGTTTCCTGTTGGTTTCTCTAATACTACATTTTTCCCTGCCTTGGTACCTCTGTATACAATGTTTTCCCCACCCCCTCTAATTCACATGGCTAGTTACTTCTCATCCTTCAGCCCTCTCACAACACAGTGGATCTCTATACGTCCATCTCCCCACTGTTCCCTATCACTGCATCTATCCAACCCCATATACCCCG